TTGGCTGGGTCATCGGACACATTTTTTAAACTAGATACCCTAATGATGATTGTGGCCAAGTTTGGTTAGATTTGGCCAAGTAGTTTCAGAGGAGAAGATTTTTGTAAAAGATTACAAAAATTTATGAAAAATGGTTAAAAATTGACTATAAAGGGCAATAACTCCTTAAGGGGTCAACTGACCATTTTGGTCAAGTTGACTTATTTGTAGATCTTACTTTGCTGAACATTATTGCTGTTTACAGTTTATCTCTATCTATAATAATATTTAAGATAATAACCAAAAACGGCAAAATTTCCATTAAATTACCAATTCAGGGGCAGCAACCCAACAAAGGGTTGTCCGATTCATCTGAAAATTTCAGGGCAGATAGATCTCGACCTGATGAACAATTTTACCCCTGTCAGATTTGCTCTAAATGCTTTGGTTTCAGAGATATAAGCCAAAATCTACATTTTACCCCTATGGTCTATTTTTAGCCATGGCGGCCATCTTGGTTGGTTGGCTGGGTCATCGGACACATTTTTTAAACTAGATACCCCAATGATGATTGTGGCCAAGTTTGGTTAGATTTGGCCAAGTAGTTTCAGAGGAGAAGATTTTTGTAAAAGATTACAAAAAATTATGAAAAATGGTTAAAAATTGACTATAAAGGGCAATAACTCCTTAAGGGGTCAACTGACCATTTTGGTCAAGTTGACTTATTTGTAGATCTTACTTTGCTGAACATTATTGCTGTTTACAGTTTATCTCTATCTATAATAATATTCAAGATAATAACCAAAAACGGCAAAATTTCCATTAAAATACCAATTCAGGGGCAGCAACCCAACAAAGGGTTGTCCGATTCATCTGAAAATTTCAGGGCAGATAGATCTTGACCTGATAAACAATTTTACCCCATGTCAGATTTGCTCTAAATGCTTTGGTTTCAGAGATATAAGCCAAAATCTACATTTTACCCCTATGTTCTATTTTTAGCCATGGCGGCCATCTTGGTTGGTTGGCCGGGTCACCGGACATATTTTTTAAACTAGATACCCCAATAATGATTGTGGCCAAGTTTGGTTAAATTTGGCCAAGTAGTTTCAGAGGAGAAGATTTTTGTAAAAGTTTACGGACGACGGACGACGGACGCAGGACGACGGACGCAGGACGACGGACGACGGACGCAAAGTGATGAGAAAAGCTCACTTGACCTTTCAGGTCAGGTGAGCTAAAAAGGAAAAATCATAAAACATACTCCAATTTGTAATGAACAGAACACTTATTGTCTTTTTCAGGCTTTACAAGAGAGGCCAAATATACCAAGGGGACATTCAAACTCATAAATCGAAAAAAAACTGACAACGCCATGACAAAAAAAAAAACAACGACCAAAGACAAACAACAGTACACAAAACACAACATAGAAAACTAAAGACAGAGCAACTCGAACCCAACCAAAAACCGGGGATGATCTCAGGTGATCGGGAAGGGTAAGGAGATCCTACTCAACATGTGGCACCCTTCGTGTTCCTCGCGTAAGTGCAATGCCAGTGATAAGTCTTGTCATTTAGTTTTATAAACCATTGTCATTTAGTTTTATAAAACATTAGGTGTAAAATTTTGGTTAAGAAAATTTTGGCTCTTTTTTGGAGTCCTTTTTCAACTTATGCTCTAAATATTTCATTTTCATCACATAATCAAAATCTCTGAAAATGAACATAACTGATAAATGATAAAAAAAAACCTTATGGCAACTCTAAGGTATCCACCAGTGTAACAGACTCAAGACTCCCTCCAGCAAACCTGATTTTATTATTTACACACTCATTTAACATTATCTGTCAATTGACCTTTTATTAAATGTTGAATTATTCAAATTACTCAGGTTTTTCTACATATGCATAGATGGCCTAGATATATATTTGACAGAACTTTTTTGAAGATTTGGTTTTTCAAAATAGTATTTGATTTGATCTGCCAACTGTTTCAATTTGATTGCCACTGATTTCCCACATACCAAATAATAAGTCTAATCATTATGATCTGTTTTTGTTTGTCATTGTGAGCTCCTCTTTCTTTTTCTTTTGTAGGTTTCTAATTTTAATGACAAACGGCGTCACTCCCATTCCAATTAAAGTTTGAAACAAGGAAAATTTGAAAACTAATTTTCTGAAGATGATTTTTCTGACTTAATAACTTTTTTCATAAAGCTAAAATGGCAAAATCATACAAAAATACTCCAATTTGTACCAAACAGAACACTTACTGTCTTATTCAGGCTTTACAAGAGAGGCCAAATATACCAAAGGGGACATTCAAACGCATAAGTCGAAGATAAACTAGCAATGCCATGGCAAAAAAAGGAAAAACAACAGTATACATAACACAACATACAATACAAAAGACTGAGCAACATGAACCACACCAAAAACTGGCGGTGATCTCAGGTGCTCCGGAAGGGAAAGCAGATCCTGCTCTACATGTTGCATCCGATGTGTTGCCCATGTAAGTACAAACCGAGTGATAAGTCTTGTCATTTAGTTTTATAAAACTTTTTAGGTGTAAAATCTGGTTTAAGAACATGTTTGCTCTTTGTCCGAGTCCCTTTTTTCAACTTATGCTCTAAATATTTCATTTTCATCAAATAATCAAAATCTCTGAAAATGAACATAACTGATAAAAGTGAAAACAAAAAACTTATTCAAATGTTTTGTGTTATGTATATGTGATTTTTATTTACTAACATTAGTCTAATAAATGGAGAATGGATGATGCCAAGGCTTGCATATTATGTTATAAAGGTGATTAACAGTAAAAGTGATGCCACCTTAATTCGAACTTGATCTGTGTTTTGTGGTAATAAGCATTGTGTAAAAGTTTCATAACATTTGGTTGCGGCAAACAAAAGTGAGAGAACAGAAATCAATTTCGGGACGTACGTACAGATGGACGGATGGACAAGGGTAACACTTAATGCCCCCTCTGATAAAAACCACTTATGGCATCTCAAAAAGGGTAAGCAGATCCTGCTCCACATGTGGTATCTGTTGTATAAGTCGAGTACTAAATTTTGTGGTCAAAGGTGAACTAGGAATTAAATTAACAAAAATTTTCCTATTGTCTGGAGAATCTGTCAAATCAATATTATTTTTCAATAAAAATACAATTTTTCCTCAATCAGCAAAGTTTGATTACAACGAAAATATAAACCACAGTAACAGACAACTACAAAGAATAATATTGCTACACAATTAAACCACTGTTGGAAAAAACTATTTTGGTTAAAGGAGAGGCGAAGGATACAAAAGGGACATTCACACTCATAAGTCGAAAATAAACTGACAACGCCATAGCTAAAAAAGATAAAAGAAGAATGTGTCTGAGGACACGAATGCCCCACTCAAGCTTTAAATAAACAAAAATTGGACAGATGGAAAGACAGAAGGACGGAAAGTCAACTATGACGGGGGCATAAAAAAAGATAAACAGACAAACAACAGTACACAAAACACAACACAGAAAACCAAAGACAGAGCTACACGAACCCCACCAAAAACTGGGGCTGATCACAGGTGCTGCAGAAGAGTAAACAGATCCTGCTCCACATGTCATAAAAATAATATATATATTGACAGATGATACAATAAAACCACAATATTTTGTAAACAGTAGTTGTGTTTGTTATATTTGTTTTGAGATTAATCATATAAATTAAAATTCAAATATAAGCTATCCTTTATAAAAAAATTCACAATGAACATAATTTAATACAGCTATTTGAGCATTAAATTAAAAAAAAATTTCATGTGAACCATGAAATTTTTTTTTGGTTTTCATAGATAAATGGTCTTGAAATTATCATTTTCTTACAGCAGTTTAATAGAATGTACAATGTAATAAAACCATCTTAACTGATCCACTTTTTTATAAAGGCAAAATTTACAAACTTTGAATTTACAATTTAACATTTAGCATGTTTGCTTCCCTATTTAAAATAACAAGCTTTTTAAAAGACTGTTATAAATTGTTCACACATCGTTGTAAATATAACGGAATTTGATAAGACTGTCGTACAAGTGAGAGGTTTAGCGCTATAAAACCAGGTTCAATCCACCATTTTCTACATTTGAAAATGTCTGTACCAAGACAGGAATATGACAGTTGTTGTCCATTCGTTTGATGTGTTTTGTCATTTGATTTTGCCATGTGATTAGGGACTTTCCGATTGAATTTTCCTCGGAGTTCAGTATTTTTGTGATTTTACTTTTTGATAGTCTATAAAAAAAAAAAGTATGATGGGTCAGTGTCATTCTTTTTGTGATATAATCAATTGAAAATTTGGCGGGAAATGATTCTCTCTAGATATTTCATACATTTTACATTTGGCACCATTTTTTTCAAAAACTATGAAATAATAACAAGGATTTTATAATATTTTCAAAAATGGCTTTTTAAACTGTATGTAATAAAATTATGATAAGAAATGTATGCGGTTAGCAGTCAAAATGTTTATTGGCACTACATGGATAAAACTAGAAGATTCCGAATATGTGACAGAAAGTCAAAAACAAGAGTAGCGAGAAAAAACACTCAACATGGATAAAACTAGAGGATACCGAAAATATGACAGAAAGTCAAAAACAAGAGTAGGGAACATATGCGAACAAAAAATTTACCCCATCTTATTTTTAATGATGATTACCCTGTCAACAAAATGTGGTCTCACTGTGTTTTGACTTCATGTCATTCCAACTGGTACACTCTCTTGTTTGTCTGTTTACACCTACACTTATGAATCAGACCTGGCCTTTCAGTTATAAAGTTTGTTTACTCAGTACCAGTAGTACAGAAATTTGGCTCCAAATACCAAATCCAGTATTTTGATTGGTTGATTTCTGAGTCTAATCATCCCAGAAAGTTTTATGACTGCAAGCCCAGGACATATAACATTAGATCTGGATTCATGATATCAAACATGATTTTGGATTTGCCATATATATATCTCAAATGTATTTCAGTTAAAAAAATCTATTTAATGGCATTTTGTAATTATATTTGAAACACGAAATGCAAACGTAACAACCATCATCATTATCATTACCTCATATACAGATAGCACAAAACAACTAATCATACGAATTAAAAAATCAGCAAGCAGAATGCATTAACATTCAGAGTTAAAATATATACCCTTTCTTTTTTGTGACCATACTAAGAAGCATATCAGGAAAACATGTAAGTCTATACTGTTTAAAGAAAGACAACTTTTAAATATATAATATCAACATAAAAAATTTGCTTTTGCTTGTTGTTCCACAGTAATTTATCTTATGGACCTCTACTCCACAATTTTTGCATTATAATATTACAATATGTGAGACTATAACTATTAATCTTCACAAAGATCACATATTCCTTTCAGATTAAAACTTCATATTGGAGGCATTTTCTAAATTTATGTATCTTTGAAAAAAGCCAGAATTCTTAGGAATTTATAAAAGCCTAAAAACTTCATGAAAAATTTCCTTTTTTGCCACAGATTTAAAAAAAATTTGCAGTAGAAAAATGTTGTCACAGTTACTGACCAACAACAAAATAAAAGTTACAAAAATCATGATATTTTCTATATACATTTGTACTACAACATATGCAGATGATTCACACATTAGGTAACAGTCTAAAAAATATATGCATGAAAATTATTCAAAAAATAAACAAGCTCGTGATCTCTATAAATCATGTGATCTTAACAATGACATATGAAATTATTTTTTCTTAAAAAAAAACTTTTTCACATTTTTATGCAAATATGTTGATGAATTATTTCCAATTACAATTCAGATATGGGAACTTATCATATAATTTTTGTCATATTTTGGGCAAAATATAAATGTCCTATCCCATATGAATTGTCCTTTAACATAATATTGTAGATTTTATAATGTAAAAAAAGTAATAAAAACCTTTACATTTTGGTCAAATTTTTTTTTATAAATTTATTTTATTGTCAAAATAACAAATATAAAAAGAATCAAGCACAATATATAACTTAAAATTGTTGTCTTCTTACAAATATAACATGAACATTTTTTATGGTAATGAAAAGCTAACAAATAAACAGTAACATACAATTAATCTGAAACTGGCCTCTATAACAGAACACTCAAAAAAGCACAACTACAAATCTTCAGCAGACAGCACCAGGAAGAAAGAAGGGAAAAATTTGGAAAAATCAATTCTTAAATTAGTAATGCATTTTTGAAAACAAACAATTTCTTTAACTTAGATTGTATTTGAAGAGGTTTTAAACTGTCTGATAAATTTTTGATAACTTATATGTTGATGAAACTGCAGTGTTTCTTTTAAAAAAATTATGCTTTGAGTTTTTTAATTGTCCCATTAAAACATTTTTTTTACCATTTTACTGCATTTATCATGAAATGCATCCTATAATAAAGATTGAATTCTAAAATTTATTCTTCAAGATGGTATCCTTAATACAACCCATTTGGATCATGAATTAAAGTAAATAAAATCATAAAAACTGCTAGGCTTATAAATGTGGGTATACATTATTGAGACAACAACCAGAATGGCACATTAAATTCCTAAAAATATATTTTCACATTCAGTGTTCTGACAAAGCGACCTCATCACAAAAACTAAACATTCGTCATGGAACAATGAAAATGTCATTCAAGTTAAATGAGTCCTTTCAGATGGACATTTACACCTTACAATGCTTCCATAAACGAAAAATAGTAGACCTGGTACATATACTATAGTGACAAACTAACCTTAGCACAAAAACTTAACATTGGTCATGGAACAACAAAGAGGTGATAAAGGTCATATTTTCCATTCGTTTGATGTGTTTGAGCTTTTGATTTTGCCATTTGATAACAAGTTTCAATGAACCTATTATAGAAGTCCTGCTACATACAGTAATAAACAAACTGACCTTTAATAGCACAAAAACTGAACATATGAAAATGAGGTAGAGATAAATGGACGTGTACACATTATAATAATTAATTCTAAAGCACATATGACATATAGTTACTGCAAACCCTTGAGTATAAAGCATCAAAACTTAACACTGGTTACTGTACTATGAAACGAGTGTTATTTTATAAAACTAAATTATCTGAACTAGCATTCCTTATAGTGTTAAATTTTTCTTAATCAAATCAATTGAAAATATTGTTTATATTAAGACAATTATTACCATTACCATATCAAAGATGAAATCACATAAATTTCTTAATTTTAAAAAAGAGGCCAAATATAAATTGCATTTCTGCTTCCAAATTTGCAAATTTCAATAAAAAATCCCAGACTGATCATTTGCAATCATTTGTGATCCAAGTTAATTCTCCCATACTACCTTAATATGGAAAAGAGACAGAAATTGTGCCAAAAAAAATCATCTCCAATGAAAGATGTCAAACAAATTAGCGAAAATTCACATTTAAATATATTTTTCTTATTTTCAATCTAATTTTCTGACAATGCATATCACACATCCATGCTCCTTAAAATGAAAAATATCATGATTTAAAATGGCAATTATTTTAAGTACTAAAGAAATTAAATATTGAGATCAAAACAATTATATTTATACAAAACTAATTTTCTAGTGGAGAAAATATATATATCACTATAAACCATCCAGAAAGCAACACATGTTCTACATAAGACATATCTTACCTAAGAACTAGACTAACCAGACATTCTTCTCATGTATTTGTACTACTGTAGATTTATTATTCATTATTTGTGGGATATCATTTTTTGTGGATTTCATAGGTATAGGTGAACCATGAATTTAAATGTTCAACGAAGAACAAATTTTTTATAGGTTTGCATGCAGACTCTGGCATGAAACCATGAAATCAAATATCCATGAAATGCAATGTTTCCTCTTTCCATGAAAATTGGTCCCAAAAGAAAATAAAAAAATCCACAGTAGGCCATGGAACATGGTCCACATTTGGAGTTGTCTCCCATTTAGCAGAAAAAACTTGAACTACAAAATATTTTCAATCCCCCATTATCATTGCAATATAAGCAAGCCTGATTAAGTTTGATTCTCAAGTAAAATTTTACTTATGTTGTTTTACTAGATGTCTCTAGTAGACATTGTTGCATAGAAACTACTGACACTATATTTCAATAAAATGCTCTGCTGGGCGCAGCTTGATACGACCGCAGAGGTCGAACCCTGAACAGTTGGGGCAAGTATGGACACAACATTCAAGCTTGATACAGCACTGAATTTGGATTGTGATTAAATATTTGACACAGAATGAATGTGGTCTAAGAATTTAAAAAATTTTAATTTACCTATTCAAACCATATCATTATTATTTGCTTTTATATATAAATCAGAAAAAACCAATTTAAAATGGAAAATTTTAAAGAAAAAAAAAGGAAAAAAAGGAAAAAAAAATCCCTCCCCTTAAGTTTTTGAACCCCCTTAGGATTCATCACCCCCAAACTCAATCCCAGCATTCCCTTTGTGGTATGGTACCTTGCAGTACAATTTCAGAGAGATCCATACACTTGAACACAAGTTATTGTCTGGAAACTAGAAAAATGCTTATTTTTGGCCCCTTTTTGGCCCCTTATTCCTAAACATTTTGGGCAATTACCCCAAACTCAATTCCAGCTTTCCCTTTGTGATATGGAACCTTGTAGTACAATTTCAGAAAGATCCATACACTTACACACAAGTTATTGTCATGAAACTAGAAAAATGATGGTTTTTTGCCCCTTTTTTGGCCCCTAATTCCTAAAATTTTGAGGCAATTACCCCCAAAATCAGTCCCAGCATTCCCTTTGTGATATGGAACCTTGTGGTACGGTGTCAGAGAGATCCATAAACTAACACATAAGTTATGTCTGGAAGTTACAAAAATGCTTATTTTTGGCCCCTTTTTGGCCCCTAATTCCTTAACTGTTGGTACCATAACCCCCAAAATCAATCCCAACCTTCCTTTTGTGTTATTGAACCTTATGGTAAAATTTCATAGAGATCCATTCACTTCAACTAAAGTTAGAGTGCGAAAACCAATGTGTCTTCAGACGACGACAACGAAGCCAACATCATACTAATATACGACCGCAAAATTTTTTTGCGGTCGTATAAAAACCATAAAAAAAAATTGCATTCACATATGATATATTGCACAGCTACAAAGTATTTCTCTATCTTACATATAACAAATATTTCAAGATATAGAAAACTTTTTTAAAATCAAGAATAAAAAACTCACAAATTTTTTGACCATTTCTTTAAATGTAATGAATATTATTTCTAAAAATTAAAAAAAAAAATTTGGTGAAAAAGATGTGGCCAAAATTTAATTTCCATTTTATATCGAATGAATTCATATTTCTCTCAAGCCCCAACAACTTTAAAACATAAAAAAATTAAAAAAGACAAACAAGTGATAATATTGACAATTTAATATACTAGTACTGTGGAGTGTGGATTCATTACAATTTTTGTTGTTTTCATAGGCAAAGGTCGACCACAAATTTAAATGTTCCATGATGTCAACATTTTCTAAAGGCTTGTATGCTGACTTTGGAAAAACCAGCAAGAAAATACAATTTAACCTCGATCCATGAAAAACTTTATCAATGAAAATCAATGAATCCACAGTTTGTACATATAACTTGTAAAACTAAAAGGTTATAGTTTGAAAAGATGAAGTGTTTGTGAGATTTCACAAAAACTAACTCTTTTCAACAATCTTTTAATTTTGTGAAAAATTCATACAAAATAGAAATCCTGTTTACATTTTTCCACTTAATTACATGTAAAATGACTACCTTACCCTCACTGTAACCACTAAGACTAGGTTAAATATAAATGGCAAATATTTCCATTCATTTTATGAACGTTGGACCATTTTGTAAAAGTTCAACCTGAAGGAATGTATACAAATTTATGGCACCAATGGAGAATAACTTAAATGTTTGATACAACAATAAGAAATTTGTAAAGAGTTCTGCAGAACCCTGTGTCTCAACAGTCATTGTTGCTGTGAATGATTGAAATATATGGCACAAAAGAGTAAGATTGATAAGGCTTCAAAATGGCCCCTCTATTTTTGCTAAAATTTCAATTTCTTTTTTAATGGCTAATTATCACAATGAAATATAGTTTAAACAATGACTAGATAGAAAATGTGATTATTTTTTCTTATTTATGTATCATTGTTCTTTTTTCAAGGTCACAATTAGCCTCACTTCCACAATTCAAATGAAAACGGGGCCAATTTCCATTGGTTTTTAGGACTGGAAACATGTAGCACATGTGCAAAAAAATCTTGTTACATTGTTTTTTTTTGAAATAAATAACATATCTGACTTGAATAATAAGTGTGTCAAACCATGCACTCTATCTTTCCTAGGCCTAAATTTAGATGAAATCCTGGAGATTTTGTCAAATTTTTACTAATTCTCTATTATTGGCCTATTTGGGTTGTAAATGCAAACTTTTATTTAAAAAGTTCAACCGGAATCATTCAAATTTCACCTTCTCAAATGTTTATTCCTCTTAAAATAGGAAGCAAAAAAAGGCCCTTACCGAACCTACCCCTTTTTAAACTGATTTGGATGTCTAATTGCCTAAAATTCATGTCCAGCAAAACTTTTGAATTTTTGGTCATAACTATTAAATATAAGGACTTCAAAACTGATACCTATCACAGTATTAAAACACATTATTATGTCACTCTGTCATAAGTTATAAGATATTCTGGATAACATTGTTCACTTCTGTAAACTATAAATTCTCTGAACAACCATTTTCCATCAGCCACTACTGAATCAAATGGAGTATGATGGCTTTTTACACAGTCTGGTTTCAGACAATTTGCACATGGTGGTGTTACGAACTTCTCAGGCTTACCTGTGACATACATATCTCCAAGCAAAAGTCTCATCAGTAACATTTTTCTATCTTTAGATTGCCTGTTTGAAGGATTATCTGAAAAAAAAACATAAAGAATAAACAAGAGATCAAATAAAAAAGTCTTTCTTGTATAATTAATTACTAGTCTTCCCTGAGCCACTGTTGCTATGCTCACCACTTAAAAAAAATTAATGTGAGGACTTAATTAGTGATGTGTCTCCAAATGTATTGGACCTTGCCTTAATAAATATGACCGAGATCTTCTTTTGGTTGGCTGGTAAAACAAAAAAAGCTGTTGTTTCTATCATGAAACTAACAAATAAAACCTACATACATCAGTTATCAATTATTAAATTGGCTGCAATGAAATACCATGATTTCAGAATCAAATAAAAACTGATAATTTCAAAAGTGAAAGAAATCGTGTAATTTACCCCCTCTGACATCATACAACAATGGGTGTTGTAAAGGCGTAATATGTTGTTGCCAAACAAAGTGAGAACACATACAAAAATATCTTATCAGTTTTATAAAAATTCTCATTAGACTATTTTTATATTACCGACTTTTGACTCCGGATTTAAAAAAATTTCGACAGGTTACCTACTCTGTGGTAGGACACTGGTATTCTGTCAGGTGAGAGCAACCAAACGAAGTAAAATCAAACATATAATTGGTGCAATTTAGGGAGAAAGTTAGCTGTATTCCGATGATTTTGTCGTGCTCAGAAAACATGTACTAGTTAATTTTCCCCCCATATTGTAATTATAATGATTGTAAGCTTGATTTTACTTCTTTAAGTTACTCTTACTTGATCGAAGACCAGAATGTCCTACTGCAGAGTAGATAACCTGTCGAAAAAATATTAAACTCCGGAGTCAAAAGTCGGTGATATGAAAATAGTCTATTGAAAATGATGACAAAGTCTTAACTGAAAAAGATAGGAAACTTGAAAAACAGGTCCTTTAACTTATACTCTGGGTTACATAGTGAGGCCAGAAGGTAGCTGAATAACAGATAGTGATTTGGCAATGTGTAACCTCCAAAAATAAGAGTCATTTGACAGATAAACATGACGCAATAATTCTTTTTGGATATGGGAAACCCTTCGAAATTAATTATTCATGTATCAACAGATAAACTAGATAGTTCAATACTATATACAGTGTCTTTGTAAGACAATTGTCAAGTGGCACTGACTTCTGCTTGGTAGTTAAAGAGGAGAAGATTAAAAAAAACATGAGACAAAAACAATTATGATGCAAGGTGATAGATTGTTATGATAAGAGATTCCTTATTTTACACCCTGCTAAGCAGGCAACAACAAAAATGACATATTTATAAAATATGCTTCAAGTCAAATAAATAAAGTATGTGTACTTTGATTTTACTGTAATCAAAAGAAAGATTTACCTGCATACTGATCAGCCTTAGTTGATGATTCAGCAGCATAAATTCCACGTCCAAACATAGCTTTATCTCCTCCTAGTCTGTCATCCAGTCCTTTGTTTATAATATTGTCAACAACCTTATCAGAAGTTCCATGGAAAAAATAACATTCATTTGCATGAGAAGCTAAGTCTAGATCAGATGTCATGGAACGATGAGCTGTTTTAATTGGTCCGTTAGATAATTGTTTCCCTCCATGAGATACATGTTCAAGAGAAGTAAATTTCTTTCCATGAGCAAGTTGTCTATAAAATTTCTTTTTTGTTGTAAGATATTTGTCAAACAGTCCATAGTTTTCAATTCTTTCAATCTTTGTAACTTTGATACTAGAATGATTTAGATTTTTAGCATCAGCCCCATGTCCAGCTTTAGTTGCATCCCAGGTCTTCATAACAAGTTGAACAATGTTCTTAAACATGTGATCTTCACTTCCTAGAGAGACTTTTTTTGCTTTGTCACCTGTAAAAAAACCCTTAACATTTTCCGCAGCTTGTCGTAGATTACCTTGGAAATTTTTCCAATATGGGGGTACGTTAGCATCATCGCATTTTGAATACCAATAATCATGAGGTCCTCCTGCCTTATGATCATTTTGATGATTACTGTTTCTTCCTGAAGGACTGTCTGTTTTATCATCCAGCAAAATTTGCAATATTTCAGTTTTGGTTCCACTTACACCATCCTTCTCACCTTTAATTGTAAGTCTGTCACGGTCTAAAATGAAAATTACAATTGGTTTAAGGTATGAGAACTATATTAGTAATATTGAACAAATGATAAATAGCACTGAGGGCTATAACACATTTTTTGGGCTGAGTGATCATCTTACAAAAAGTATTGGATCATTGTAATAAAATAAAAGAAAATGCTCCGCCGGACACAGCTTGATACAACCGCAGAAGTCCAACCCTGAACAGTTGGGGCAAGTATGGACACTACATTCAAACTTGTAACAGCTCTGAATTTGGATTGTGATTAAATAATTGACACATCATAGGTTTCTGACACAGAAAAAATGTGGTCAAAGAACATAAAATTTTGAAATTGGACTTATACCTATTATGGTCCAATATCTAAAATCTAAATCCAGGGTTAGACTCAGCATATCATATAACCCCAAGTATTTAAATTTTTGATGAAATCAAACAAGTTTAATTTCTGGCCTTTTGGACCTCAATGTAGACCAATTTGATAACAGGGCCCAAAATCCAAAATCTAAATACACGGTTAGATTTGGGATATCAAAGAACCCCATATGTTCAATTTTTGAAGATATGTCGTCCGAAGACATTTGAAATCAAACAAAATTTAATTTTGGACCCTGATTTGGACCAACTTGAAGGATGGGCCCAAAATCAAAAATCTAAATACAATATTAGATTCAAAGAACCTCATGTATTCAAGTTTGATTAAAATCAAACAAAGTTAATTTTGGACCCCAATTTGGACTAAATTGAAAACTGGGCCCAAAATCAAAAATCTTAACACATGTTTAGATGTTTAGATTCAGTATATCAAAGAACCCCTTGAATTCAGTTTTTGTTGAAATCAAGCAAAGTTTAATTTTGGACCCGAATTTGGACAAAATTGGAAACTGGGCCCAAAATCAAAATTCTTAATACATGTTTAGATTCAGCATATGAAAGAACCCCTTGAATTCAATTTTTGTTAAAATCAAACAAAGTTTTATTTTGGACCCTTTAGACCTTTTAAAATATGGACCAATTCAAAAACAGGTCCCAAAATCCAAAATTCTAAATATATGGTTAGATTCAGTATATTAAAGAACCCCAAGAATTTAAAACTTTGAATATAAAACACCATTGAAATTGGTCAAGAAATACTCAATTTATACAAAGTATTACAAAAGTATTGTTTTTCAACCCCTTTTACCTAAATTGTTAGGGTCATAACCCCCAAAATTAATCCCAACCTTCCTTTTATGGTATGGAACCTTGAGGTACAATTTCATAGTGATCAATAGACTTATACTCAAGTTATTGTCCAGAAACTAGAAAATCATAGTTTTTTGGCCCCTTTTCTGCCCCTTATTCTTAAATGGTTTGGGCCATGACCCCCGAAATCAAGCCCAACATTCCTTTTGAGGTAAAGAACCTTGTGGTAAAATTTCATAGAGATCCATACACTTATACACAAGAAATTGTCCTGAAACAAGACTAGAGGCTCTCAAGAGCCTGTGTCGCTCACCTGTATTTACTGATGCTTTGGAAATCATGTAAAATAAGGTTAAAACCATAATTACAGCCGATTTCAATGAGTGTGTAGCTAAAGGTAATATCTTTGGTTAGCTTGCTTGCTAGCTGAACCGTGAAGTCATTGTTAGGTTAGGTAAACTACCCTCCTATAAGAGTAGACTACTCCGACAGATAACCAACCTATCTGTCTGTAGGACTAGACTACTTCAAACGGAGGGTAGTATACCTTACCTAACAATGACTTCATGGTTCAGCGAGCACGCAAGCTAACCAAAGATATTACCTTTAGTTACACACTCATTGAAAACTGCTGTAATAGTATTAGATATTCGATATTGTAATGATATCTAAGATAATAACAAAAAACTGCAAAATTTTTGTAAAATTACTAACTCAGGGGCAGCAACCCAACAACGGGTTGTCGGATTAGTCTGAAAATTTCAGGGCAGATAAATCTAAATCTGATGAACATTTTTGTCACCTGTCAGATTTGCTCTAAATGCTTTAGTTTCAGAGATATAAACCAATAAAATGCTTCGCTGGGCGCAGCTTGATACGACCGCAGAGGTCGAACCCTGAACAGTTGGGGCAAGTATGGACACAACATTCAAGCTTGATACAGCTCTGAATTTGGATTGTGATTAAATATTTGACACAGCATAGGTTTCTGACACAGAAAGAATGTGGTCTAAGAACTTCAATTTTTTTAATTTACCTATTATGGTCCAATGTCCAAAATCAAAATACATGGTTAGATTCAGCATATCAAAGAACCCCATATATTCAATTTTTGTTGAAATCAAACAAAGTTTAATTTTGGACCCCAACTTGGACAAACTTGAAAACTGGTCCCATAATCAAAAATCTAAACACATGTTTAGATTCAGCATATCAAAGTACCCGAAGAATTCAATTTTTGTTAAAATCAAACTAAGTTTAATTTTGGACCCTTTGGACCTTAATGTAGACAAATTTAAAAAACGGGACCCAAAATTAAAAATCTAAAAACACGGTTAGATTTGGCATATCAAAGAACCCCAATAATTCAATTTTTGATGAAATCAAACAAAGTTTAATTTTGGACCCTTTTGACCTCAATATGAACCAATTTGATAGCGGGCCCACAAATAAAAAATCTAAATACATGGTAAGATTCAGCATATCAAAGAACCCCATATATTCAATTTTTGTTGAAATCAAACAAAGTTTAATTTTGGACCCCAACTTGGACCAACTTGAAAACTGGTCCCATAATCAAAAATCTAAACACATGTTTAGATTCAGCATATCAAAGAACCCCATATATTCAATTTTTGTTGAAATCAAACAAAGTTTAATTTTGGACCCCAACTTGGACCAACTTGAAAACTGGTCCCATAATCAAAAATCTAAACACATGTTTAGATTCAGCATATCAAAGAACCCCAAAAATTCAATTTTTGTTAAAATCAAACTAAGTTTAATTTTGGACCCTTTGGACCTTAATGTAGACCAATTTAAAAAAACAGGACCCAAAATTAAAAATCTAAATACACGGTTAGATTTGGCATATCAAAGAACCCCAATAATTCAATTTTTGATGAAATCAAACAAAGTTTAATTGTGGACCCTTTTGACCTCAATATGAACCAATTTGATAGCGGGCCCACAAATAAAAAATCTAAATACATGGTAAGATTCAGCATATCAAAGAACCCCATATATTCATTTTTTGTTGAAATCAAACAAAGTTTAATTTTGGACCCCAATTTGGACCAACTTGAAAACTGGGCCAAAAATCTAAAATCTAAATACATATTTAGATTCAGCATATCAAAGAACCCCATATATTCAATTTTTGTTGAAATCAAACAAAGTTTAATTTTGGACCCCAACTTGGACCAACCTGAAAACTGGGCCCATAATCAAAAATCTAAACACATGTTTAGATTCAGCATATCAAAGAACCCTAAGAATTCAATTTTTGTTAAAATCAAACTAAGTTTAATTTTGGACCCTTTGGACCTTAATGTAGACCAATTTAAAAAACGGGACCCAAAATTAAAAATCTAAATACACGGTTAGATTCGGCATATCAAAGAACCCCAATAATTCAATTTTTGATGAAATCAAACAAAGTTAAATTTTGGACCCTTTGGACCTCAATGTGGACCAATTTAAAAACGGGGCCCAAAATCCAAAAACTTAATACATGGTTAGATTCAGCATATTAAAGAACCCCAAGAATTCAAGAATAAAACCCCATTGAAATTGATCAAGAAATAAGCAATTTATACGAAGTATCTTCTTTTGCACAATACTGTGCAATTGAATATTTATTGCTATTGCGCAATACTGTACAATTGACAATTTCTTGCTATTGCGCAATATTGTGCTATTGGATATTTCTTGCTATTGCGCAATACTGTTAAATTGAAGATTTCTTGCTATTGCGCAATACTGTGCAATTGAAGATTTCTTGCTATTGTGCAATACTGTGCAATTGAAAATTTCTTGCTATTGCACAATACTTATTATATAATAATTTACACATCCTGTTTGGTGTGTATCTCCTACCATATCATTATTATTTGCTTTTAAATATAAATCAGAAATAACCAACTTAAAATGGAAAATTTTAAAAGAAAAAAAAAAGGAATAAAAAGAAAAAAAAAAAAAAAAAAAATCCCCCCCCCAATTTTTTGAACCCCCTTATGATTCATCACCCCCAAACTCAATCCCAGCCTTCCCTTTGTGGTATGGTACCTTGCAGTACAATTTCAGAGAGATCCATACACTTGAACACAAGTTATTGTCTGGAAACTAGAAAAATGCTTATTTTTGGCCCCTTTTTGGCCCCCAATTCCTAAACGTTTCGGGCAATTACCCCCAAACTCAATTCCAGCTTTCCCTTTGTGATATGAAACCTTGTAGTACAATTTCAGAAATATCCAAACACTTACACACAAGTTATTGTCATGAAACTAGAAAAATGCTTGTTTTTTGCCCCTTTTTTGGCCCCTAATTCCTAAAATTTTGAGGCAAATACCCCCAAAATCAATTACAGCCTTCCCTTTGTGATATGGAACCTTGTGGTACAATGTCAGAGAGATCCATACACTTACACACAAGTTATTGTCTGAAAGTTACAAAAATGCTTATTTTTGGCCCCTTTTTGGCCCCTAATTCCTTAACTGTTGGTACCATAACCCCCAAAATCAATCCCAACCTTCCTTTCGTGGTATTGAACCTTATGGTGAAATTTCATGGAGATCCATTCACTTAAACTAAAGTTAGAGTGCGAAAATCAATGTGTCTTCGGACAACGCTGGACGACGACGACGACGACGCCAACGTCATACCAATATACGACCAAAAAATTTTTAATTTTTGCGGTCGTATAAAAACTGCATTTTACCCCTATGTTCTATTTTTAACCAAGTCGGCAATGATGGTTGGAAGGCGGGGTCATCAGACACATTTTTTAAACTAGATACCCTAATAATGATTATGGCCAAGTATGGTTAAATTTGTCTCAGTAGTTTTAGAGAAAAAGATATTTGTAAAAGATTACAAAAACTTACGAAAAATTGTTAAAAATTGACTATTAAGGGCAATAACTCCTAAAGGGGTCGACTGACAATTTTGGTCATTTGACTTATTTGTAGATCTTACTTTGCTGAACATTATTGCTGTTTACAGTTTATCTCTATCTATAATAATATTCAAGATAATAACCAAAAATTTAAAAATTTCCTTAAAATAACCAATTCAGGGGCAGCAACCCAACAACAGGTTGTCAGATTTGTCTGAAAATTTCAGAGCAGATAGATCTTGACTTGATAATCAGTTTTACCTGTGTCAGATTTACTCTAAATGCTTTGGTTTCAGAGATCTAAGCCAAAATCTACATTTTACCCCTATGTTCTATTTTTAGCCATGGCGGCCATCTTGGTTGGTTGGCGGGGTCATTGGACACATTTTTTAAACTAGATACCCTAATGCTGATTGTGGCAAAGTTTGGTTAAATTTGGCCCAGTGGTTTCAGAGGAGAAGATTTTTGTAAAAAGCTAACAACGACGACAACAGACGACGGACGACGGACGACGGACCCCAAGTGATGAGAAAAGCTCACTTGGCCCTTCTAAAAAATGCTTGTTTTTGGCCCCTTTTTAGCCCCTAATTTCTAAACAGCTAGAACAATAACACTCAAAATCAATCCCAACCTTGCTATTGTGGTATGGTACCTTGTGCTACAATTTCAAAGAGATCCTTACACTTAAACTCAAGTTATTGTCTGGAAACCAAAATGTCTTCAAAAGAAGTTAGCAATATCCTTTAAAACTTTACTTTCCGCTATATAGATGATGTTCTCTCACTAAATAATTCAAAATTTGGTGACTATGTTGAACGCATCTATCCCATCGAACTAGAGATAAAGGATACAACAGATACAGTTAAGTCTGCCTCATATCTTGACTTACATCTAGAAATTGACAATGAGGGTCGGTTGAAAACAAAACTTTACGACAAAAGAGATGATTTCAGCTTCCCAATTGTGAACTTTCCATTTCTATGTAGCAACATTCCAGCAGCGCCTGCATACGGAGTATATGTCTCCCAATTGATATGATATTCCCGGGCTTGTGTTTCCTATCATGATTTCCGTGATAGAGGGTTGCTGCTCACAAGGAAGCTATTAAACCAAGAGTTCCAAATGGTGAATTTGAAATCATCCCTTCGTAAATTTTACGGACGCCATCACGAGTTGGTTGACAGTTATGGAATAACCATTTCACAGATGATATCGGATATGTTCCTTATGTCGTAATTACAATCCACTTCCTTTTTCACCACGAATATGACCTACCGAATTAGACTATTTACCGTATTTGTAATAACATGAGCAACACGACGGGGCCACATGTGGAGCAAGATCTGCTTACCCTTCCGGAGCACCTGAGATCACCCCCAGTTTTTGGTGGGGTTCGTGTTGCTTAGTCTTTAGTTTTCTATGCCATGGTGTTGTCAGTTTATTTTCGATCTATGAGTTTGACTGTCCCTCTAGTTTCTTTTGCCCCTCTTTCAGACGACAAATGTCTTCGGACAATGACGCAGACAATGCCATAACATGATACAAACACAAAAATTTTGCGATCGTATAAAAACTATTTGGGTTGTATCGATTCTTATTGTGAATCAGAACTTATTTATACCACAAACATTGGTTTCAACTCTCTCGATCTTGGCGGGAGACTCCCCATATTTTTACAAATTTCTGGATTCTCCCTCTGTGTGTTTGTCTCCCTTGCAAAAGTTAAAATTGTCCACTAGCATAAAAAGTCACCCACTCATTTTGAACTATAATTTAACTTTCATTAAGCTGTTAACAAAATTAAGAAAATGTGCTTATTTTCAATATTTTTACTTATTTCCTAGAACTTAATATGGTTGGATTCCAGGAAATTTTGTCAAATTTCACCAATATCTACTTTTGACCTATTTGGGTTGTAAATTTTAACTCTTTATAAGAACCCCTTGACAAAAAAAGTTCTACTTTTCTTTTTCTTACATGTCTTTTCATCAACTTGTTACAATTATTATCTTCAAACAATGGACTTAATATTCGGGGCCAAATATGGCCCTTATCAAACTGATTTTTATAGTTTTTTCTTATGTTGTACTGTAACACCACTGTCCCAGGTTGAGTGCTCTAAAACATGTTTAACCCCACCATATTCTTTATGTGCCTGTCCCAAGTCAGGAGTCTTTAGTTCAATGATTGTCGTTGGTTCACGTCTGTCATATTTGTTTTTCATTAATTGTTTTGTTATAAATTAGGCCGTTTGTTTTCTCAATTGAATTGCTTCATATTTTTCATGTCTGGGCCTTTTATAGCCGACTATTAGGTATGGGTTTTTCTCATTGTTGAAGGCCGCAAGGTTGCTTATAATTGCTTACATCCACTTCATTTGAACTTTGTTGGATAGTTGTCTTATTGGCAATCATACCACATCTTCATATTTTTATATTACTCCTAAAACAAAAAATGTGACGTTATGTTTATTTTGATGTACAAACAATGTAATTATTCATAATCCTTTAGATTCTGAAATAATGAATTGTTGCTGCAGTCACCTACCTTTTTCAATCCAGACATGGTCTTTCTTAGCAGCTGAAATCATTTTTTTCCATGTATTGCTGGACAATGACTTTATCTTATCATTCTTAACACTATCCTCATACAAGAATGTATCTTTTATTTCTGTAGATAGAGTTTTGCGTATCTTTTCTCCCTCTACTTTTGAAACAGCATACAACTCAACTGAAATGGCTTGTACAGTCACTTTGTGTTTATCTGCTCCATCTTTAGATTCAAAAGCTAAAAATATTTGAAAAGTTTACACTAACATTTAATAGTGCTTTTTTAATGCAAAATAATTTAAACAATTCAAACGAAAAGGCCAGATTAATGTACAAAACAATAAACCAAAAACAAATATGATATACAGCAACAAACAACATTAGCCCCTTTTTTCTCTCAAAAACTATGAAAAAATAACAAGGTTTTTATAAGATTTTCAAAAATGGCTTTTTAAACAATATGTAATGAAATTATGAAAAGAAAAGTAGGGGCAAGTGAGCAAAATTTTTAACGGCACTACATGGATAAAACTAGAGGATTCCGAATATCTGACAAAAAGACAAAAACAAGAGTAGCTTGATCTTAAAGTACTACTTACCCTCTTTACCATCTGATGGTGAGCTGTCATGTCTATGTCGATCATATATAACAGTTCCTGACATACTTTCTAACCTTTTTTTGAATTCACCAACAGTTGCAGAATCAAAAATTACAAACTTAATTTTCTGAAAATATAAGCAATAAAATCTATCATTTCTCTGAAGATATATTTTTTTCTACTGTTTTTGTTTCAGGTGTGCAGTGAAAGATAATTGAAGTTAATATAAATATCACTTTTTCATGATAAGAAAATTGCTGTGTTTTTAAGCCATAGAAAAGCCCCAATCTCTTGAAACAGATCTATAATGAAGTATATTTAGCATTCTTAATTGAAGCTCAAATTCTGCCCTTTATGACTTTTATAACTTGTCTTAAGGATGTTCGCTCTTCTTTTTCAAAATAACAAGCTTTTAAAAAGGCTGTTATAAATTAAAAGTATACAAATAAAGGAACTTAAAAAGCAGAAAAAATTGAAGGGTCCGTGTGCTTGTTTTCCAGATATAAGCCATTGAAAATTTGGCGAGAAGTGATTCTCTCTAGATTTTTCATATATTTAACATTGGCCCCTTTTTTGTTCAAAAACTATGAAAAAATAACAAGGATTTTATAAGATTTTCAAAAATGGCTTTTTAAACTATATATAATAAAATTATGAAAAGAAAAGTAGGAGTTTGTGGGCAAAATTTTCAATGCTACTACATGGATAAAACCAGAGGATTCCGAATATCTGGCAAAATTTCAAAAACAAGAGGAGCAAACATCCTAAATTGTAGATCTCAGATTAGGAAACTTTTTGGAAAATTTTTTAATTGTTATTTTTTTGGAAAATTTAACAATATTTTATTTTGAGAAAAGTTGTATATAAACAAACCAATTTTTTTTACCTGAAGCAATACACTATTTATAGCACTGCTAATTATGTCATAAGCAAATATCACTAGGAATAGGTAACTTTAAGTAGTAAAACTGAAACATTACTTAAGGAGAGTAACAGATAAGTTTGGCTCTTGAAATCAAGAACATCATAAAACTACCAAATAGTATTCTTCAGATGTTCACAAGACATTAATTTGCCATACAAATATCTTCAATCAAAATCGAAATTGTTATAGAAAGATGCAAATGGCTAAATTACGGAAAAAAACCAAACCCAAAATTATATGATTTCGAATATCTTTACACACAAACAATATTTCTGGAATTACTTTCATCAAGTACCCTAGTTAAAGGGGTTGGAAATAGGAGGTGGTGTCATTCCGAATTCCTGGAAAATAAGTGCTGAATCCAAAATCCCTAAAAAATATAGCATTCTTTCCGGGATCCCCAAAAATCTTCAATTCCAGAGTCCCGATAAGTGTAAATCCTAAACTCCCACAATGAATAAAGGCCCAATCCCTAAATCTCAAAAAAAAGTCCTTCTGCCCGTCTAGTTACCATAAGTTTGGAAAAGCCAAATTTATAAAACTTGAGAGCATAAAAACTAAAATGGCCTAAATTGATCAGTGGTCACTTTTGCCATTGCAAATATAATTTTAGCATAATTACAACTTGTATTAGGGTCAATATAAAACATTTGCTAACCTACTTCTTTAACACATCAGTTTAATTGCAAGATATAAGTAAATATTTGTGTAAATCAAAATTACGTTTTTCATCTGTGTGTGTGTTAAAATGAGAGGTTAGATAGAGTAAAGCATGCTTTCCATTATTTTCACCCCAAAACATCTGTACTAAATCAGGAACATGTCTTTCTTTTCTTTCATCTGCTCCTTCTGTTCTGGTGAAATGGTATCTGGGTTTAAATTAAGTTAAATGTATAAAAAAAAATATTTAAATAATTTTTACCTCTTAAAAATACAGATGTTGAAAAAATGTCTGAAACTTACCTTAATACATTTTGATCTCTGAGCTGTGACCTTGGCCTCAGAAACAAGACAATTTACAACTTCATGAACAGGATATTTAAGAAGCTGTCCAGTTCCTACAGCAGAAAAGGCAACACAATCGTGGTTTCTAATGCTACACTGCCTCAAACAATCTCTTACTGCTTTATGCAAAATCTGTAAAATTCAGAAGAGATAATTATAAGGAGGTACACCAATTCATAGGTCTAGAAGTAAACAGACCAACAAAGAAGTAACAAGAGTGCACACACTGAAATGTCTTGCCTGCATTACTGACCATTGGTTTTATGTTGAAAGTCTTAAAGATAAAGGTTTTACTAAAAGTATCACATAAACTTAACATTTTTAAATATCCATGAAATTGAGGTCAAGGTCAGATTATATCTACCAGACAGACATGTTCATCTTGCAATCATTCCATACACCAAATATAGTTGACCAACTGCTTATAGTATTTAAATAAATAATGCCCCCATTTGCATATAACTTTATACAGGGACATTATTAAACTCAAGAACAGTAAAAGTGGCGCAGCCCAAATTCAAACTTGATTTCTGTTTTGTGGTAATAAGCATTGTGTGTAAGTTTCATAACATTTGGTTGAGGCACACTAAAGTTAGAGAACAAAAACTAAATTTGGGATGTACGGACAGGCAAGGGTAACACTAAATGCCCCCTCCACTGCAGTGGGGGTATAAAAACAGAACAAAACACAAAATCTTAATTTGACCAATGAACAATGAAAATGAGGTCAAGGTAAGATAATACTTGCCAGACAGACATGTACACTTTACAGTCATTCCATACACCAAATATAGTTGATCTATTGCTTATAGTTCTTGAAAAATAGACCAAAACACAAAAACTTAACATTGAACAATAAACCATGAAAATGAGGTCAAGGTCAGATGAAACTTGCCAGACTGATATGTACCACTAACAATTCCATACACCACATATAGTTGACCTACTGTTTTTAGTATTTGAGAAACGGACCTAATCATGTAACTTTAACATTGATCACTGATCTATGAAATGAGGTTGAGGTCAGGTGAACTCTGTCTGATGGACATGTAGACCTTGCAAGGAACCCATAAACCAAATATAGTTATCCTTTTACTCATACTAAAAGAGAAATTCACATGGCCAAAATAATTTTTGTTCAAGCAGTCGCTGAACCATGAAAATGAGGTCAAGGGCAATGGACATATGACAGACAGAAACTTTGTAAAATAAGGTATCTGCGTACAAGGTATGAAGCATCCAGGTCTTCTACCTTCTGAAATATAAAGCTTTATACAAAAAGTTTACTCAGCCACCGACACCGCCAGATACTAATCGCAGGCGAGACAAAAACAGTCTGAATGGCATTGAAAGAGTAACACATAGTGCTTCAACAGAGAAAATAACTCCTATTATTGTGGTTTCATTTATTTTCCTGGATACCAATTTTCATGGATTAAGGAATTAAATTTGTATTTTCATAGATACTTTATGTCATGGTTTCAAACGAAGTCTGCATACAAGAATATAGATAATCTGTACTTCAGTGAACATTCAAATTCGTGGTTTACTCTACTGGCAAAATCTACGAAAAATTGATATCCCATGAATAATAATGAAATCAAAGTATGCCTGAAAATCTCGACATGATTCAAAAGTTATATGCAGTCACAAATATTATGGTCTGTTAGAAACATGAAATAAAATGCTCCCTGGGGCGCAGCTTAATACGACCGCAGAGGTCGAACCCTGAACAGTTGGGGCAAGTATGGACACAACATTCAAGCTTGATACAGCACTGAATTTGGATTGTAATTAAATATTTGACACGGCATAGGTTTCTGACACAGAATGAATGTGGTCTAAGAACTTAAATTTTTTTAATTTACCTATTCAAACCATATCATTATTATTTGCTTTTATATATAAATCAGAAATAACCAATTTAAATTGGAAAATTTTAAAGAAAAAAAAAGGAAAAAAAAATCCCCCCCCCCAAATTTTTTGAACCCCCTTATGATTCATCACCCCCAAACTCAATCCCAGCCTTCCCTTTGTGGTATGGTACCTTGCATTACAATTTCAGAGAGATCCATACACTTGAACACAAGTTATTGTCTGGAAACTTGAAAAATGCTTGTTTTTTGGCCCCAAATTCCTAAACATTAAGGGCAATTACCCCCAAACTCAAAAACAGCTTTCCCTTTGTGATATGGAACCTTGTAGTACAATTTCATAAAGATCCATACACTTACACACAAGTTATTGTCCTGAAACTAGAAAAATGCTTGTTTTTTGCCCCTTTTTGGCCCCTAATTCCTAAAATTTTGAGGCAATTACCCACAAAATCAAACCCAGCCTTCCTTTTGTGGTATGGTACCTTGCAGTACAATTTCAGAGAGATCCATACACTTGAACACAAGTTATTGTCTGGAAACTAGAAAAATGCTTATTTTTGGCCCCTTATTCCTAAACTTTTTGGGCAATTACCCCCAAACTCAATTCCAGCTTTCCCTTTGTGATATGGAACCTTGTAGTACAATTTCACAAAGATCCATATACTTACACACAAGTTATTGTCATGAAACTAGAAAAATGCTTGTTTTTTGCCCCTTTTTGGCCCTTAATTCCGAAAATTTGGAGGCAATTACCCCCAAAATCAATCCCAGCATTCCCTTTGTGATATGGAACCTTGTGGTACAATGTCAGAGAGATCCATACACTTACACACAAGTTATTGTCATGAAACTAGAAAAATGCTTGTTTTTTGCCCCTTTTTGGCCCTAATTCTTAAAATTCTGAGGCAATTACCCCCAAAATCAATCCCAGCATTCCCTTTGTGATATGGAACCTTGTGGTACAATGTCAGAGAGATCCATACACTAACACACAAGTTATGTCTGAAAGTTACAAAAATGCTTATTTTTGGCCCCTTTTTGGCCCCTAATTCCTTAACTGTTGGTACCATAACCCCCAAAATCAATCCCAACCTTCCTTTTGTGGTATTGAACCTTATGGTAAAATTTCATAGAGATCCATTCACTTAAACTAAAGTTAGAGTGCGAAAACCAATGTGTCATCTGACAACGAAGACGACGACGACGCCAACGTCATACCAATATACGACCGCAAAATTTTTTTGCGGTCATAGAAAAATCATGTGATAATGTCAGAATAAAGACTGCAGAAATTAGGGAGCAGTGAAAGAATACAAATGTCTCGAGCAAATTGAAACACCTTCCATTTCTTTGTAATGGCAACCATAAAACTTAAAAAGTAAAACTTTTAATTTCTTTCTTCTCATACCCATGTACTTGAAGCTTATGAGTTAAAAGTGAATTTTCATTTGTAAATACACCATATATAAGAGCAACTCTAGCAAATAGTATCAACTTATATAATTTATTGCCATAAGCATAAGTTATGATAATTTATTACACATCATTTTTCATAATAGTAACAATATGAGATGAAAAGATAAGATGGTGTTCATACAGAAACACTTACATCCAAACTCCTACCTGGACCAAGAACACAGTTATTTGGTAGTGCATTTATCTTAAACAATAAATGCAAATTTAAACAAGAATTAGTCCATAGTACACAGTTGCCCCACTCCCACTATCATTTTCTATGTTCAGTGAACCGTGAAATTGGGGTCAAAACTCTAATTTGGCATTAAAATTAGAAAGATCATATCATAGGGAACATGTGTACTAAGTTTCAAGTTGATTGGACTTCAACTTCATCAAAAACTTTAACCTGAAGCGGGGCAGACGGATGAACGGACGAACGGACACAGATACCGAAAAAACATAAAGCCCCTAGGTGGGGCATAAAAAAGTGCACCTGCTCCATCTCAATGAGATTTTTACAGTGTAGTGTTCTACTTTAGGAGCAAATTAAATCAAAATTATAAAAAAAAGTCTATCAGATCTTACTCAAAATATGGACAATTTTATGATAAGGGGGTCTATAATTCAGTACGAACGCTTCAGACATACTTATTTTTGAACTTTTTCAACTGGACAAATCACTACATTACCTAAAAATTCATGACCCGAATTTTCTTTATATGTAATTTCATCCACCCTTCTTACTATTTTATACACTGTCCATACTAGGAACTATATATATAAATTCAAAGGATGATAACTGTATACCCAAGTACCACCTTCTGAAGTAGAGGATATTATAATTACTACAAGTTAACGATCAATCGTTTGTTGTTTGCTGTCAAATATTTCATGCATTTTTAGGACGAGCAGAATAAAGATGGATAACAGTGTATTATTACCGATTTGTCACCAGTCCATTTTGGTATTTCAAGATGGCAGACTTCTCTGCAAGCTAGACCACCTGACTTTTGAGTGAATGTAATACTACTGGTATCAGTGGTTTCTTGTCCATTTCTTGCTTGAATATATTTCTACAATGAAATAATTACATAACATGTACTTTTCATTAGAATCTGTACTTTTCATTGGCTGAAAGCATTCGCTAGGGTTTTAATATCAATTTCTATTTCTCAATAAAATCAACATTCATGACAGTACGTGCTTCAAAGTCACAACACTGCAAAGGAAAACAAAATGGAAAACTTGGAATAATGTCTAGTAATTTCATGGTTGTAGCATAAAAATGTAACTATAAGAATTGAATGCTTCTTTTTGTAATTCTATAGGGTTGTAAAAACGTTGGTAGTGTGCACATTTTTAGTATGAAGTGCTTCCGCTATAATAATATCTATAACTTCTTTTAACCCTGTAAAATAAACTATGTTGCAAGCTATCTGCCATATTTTTTTTCATTGTTTCTTATACCGTATTTGGTCGTGTATAATCCACACTTTTAACCCAAAATATGTAGTTGGTACAGGGGGTGTGGATTATACACAACTATAGACGGTTTTCGATTTTTATAAAAAAAAAATTTTCATAATATCGTTTTTTCTTCATTATCATTTATGGGAGATTTTTGACTTCATTTTATTTATTTATTCTTATTTTTTTAATAATTTTTTTCTTCATTAAAGAACCTTAGTGAGCGCGCTCACATACCCCACGTCCCCACATTGTCATTGGAGAAATAAAATATGTGTAAGAAAAAAAAATTGTATAAGAAAATAAAATTGAATCATAATTTCCTGTCAATATGCCCATCTACATAGTATGTCCTTATTATCTGAAAAGGTTTCATGAAATTCTGTTGTGTGGTATCAGAGGAGTTGTGATGACAAACTGTTGCAGTAGTACATTGAAGCAAATAAGTTCAAAGGGGCGTAACTCCAAGAAAAAAAATTGAACCATAATTTCCTGTCGATATGCACATCTACATAGTATGTCCTTATTATCTAAATAGGTTTCATGAAATTCTGTTGTGTGGTATCAGAGGAGTTGCGATGACAAACTGTTGCAGTAGTACATTAAAGTAAATAAGTTCAAAGGGGCGTAACTCCTAGAAAAAAAATTGAATCGCAATTTCCTGTCGATATGCACAACTACATAGTATGTCCTTATTATCTAATAAGGTTTCGTGAAATTCTGTTGTGTGGTTTGAGAGGAGTTGCGATGACAAGAAACAGGACTGATGGCATGACGGACTGACGGACTGACGGACGGACAGACGGATGGGTCAAAAACATTATACCCTCCGCAACTCGTTGCGTGGGGTATAATAATTGAATATTCAAAGTAAAGGTGTGACATCCTGCCTGAGTAATTTAAAGGGGGTAATTAAGGATTAAGTATGGGTGTGTAGCAACTGAATAACAATCATGTCAACTTTTGACAGGTGTTCAATATTATAATCCCAAGCTCAAAATCAACATGATCAATGAAAAGATTATATAGGATTAAAGAGTTTTAAATTTTTAATTACTGCTAATTAATTAAGATAATAAATGTTTGATCTCTATTTTCTTTTGTTCCATAATATTCCAATTATTTCTTTTATATTATTTGAACAGTGCATCAGCTTGGTCATGCTTACACAAATGTTGATATTAGGAGGCATCTTTGATGAATAACTTTACTTTTATAAAATAATAAATGTTAATTACATGATGAAAGCTCTACCATTTCATTTTTTATGACTTTATAACTTATTTAATTAAACAAAAAATATTACACAAAAAAAAAAATTGATTGAACAAACAATTTTCTGAATTATTTGTATCTTATATAAATAGACTTAAAAAAAGATTAAATGCATGGATTAAAAGATCCTAATCAAAGGATTTTTACAGTGAACTAGAATTTTTAATTTTATTAATCTTTTCTTTTGAACTTTTTTTTCAACTTGTTTTCACGATTTTGGGGGTATGAAAAGGGGGTGCGGACTATACATAACTGCGTACTATACACAGCCGAATACGGTAGTATAAATCAGGTACTTTTCTGATTGTTAGCAGTTGTACATTGACCTGTCATTGTTCATAGAGGGGCGTAAAGGTGGGGTATCTGCACGGAAGAACGCGAAATAAAATTGCCATTTCATGATGAACGAACAATTAAAAATTTCTTGCACCTTGATCTTTTTACCGATTTCACGAAACACGGTGAATAACGAACCTTTTTCACTGCTGCACGTGAAATAAAAATGGCAAAACACGTTGCACGAAAATAACCCTTTACCACCCTCTTCATAATTTTGTTTTTTGTACTTAATGGATAGTTGTCTCATTGGTAATCCTTCATATTTCCTTTTTTCTAATGTAGTCAAGTGTTTAAATATGAATCATGATGACTGTACTCAGACTTGAGGTTCAGTTTTAATTGTTCCATGAGCTATTTCTAAAACTTTTGATTACTTAAATGTTTAATTACCTGTTCAAACTCTGGACCACATTTTTTCATAAAACTCTGTGTTATTCTACTCTTATTAAAATTATTGTATCCTGCTGCCACAACATTCACAAGAACACTAGACTAATAAATAAAAAATAAATATAGAAGTATCTAAAAATTGTGATCAACAAATATCCTACTGTGGATTCGTTATTATTCGTGGAATACCAATACTTGTGGATTTCGTGGATAAAGGTGAAAGATAAATTTAAATGTTCAACAAAGTTGAAATTTTCTATATAAGTTTGTATGCAAAACCAAGAAATCAAATATCAACAAAAGTACTATTTTTCTGCAATCCATGAAAATTGGTACTCATAAAAATTGGTACCCAACAAAAATGAATGAATCCACAGTATTTGGAGAATAAAGTTATGATTGGTTAATGATTTTTTGCTCGCTCAATATCCATTTGCAAAAAAAAACAAGTATATTTGGGACAAGAAAGAACAAGTTGAACTAGAAAACTGACATATCAGCAATCCCCCTCCCCCTTTGCACATTTTTGTGTGGGCACAGAGACTGATGAATTTTGACACTAGCAATTAATTCAGGATGTGTATATAAGTTTTATTATAATCCACGCATTATGTATTTTGGTGGGGATTTTTGTAAATGGAAGACAACCAATAATTTTTTACATAGAGAATAATTTTTTGAAAAACAAATAATACCTACATCTTGATTTTCAATGAAAGAAGTAGGGGCAATAAGGCCCTTATTTTGCCCAATTTAACGAGTTACCATGGCAACAACCCAAGATGAGATTTGTATATTGTGTAAAATTTCTTGATTTTCCTTTGATTTTCCTTGTTTTTCATCAAATTTTAAGTATATTTTAGATTGACAAACTATTTGCACACCCAAGAAACAACTTTATATTTAGTGAGATTATGTCAAAACTTATGATAAAGCATCTCTTTAACTATGTAGTTGTTTCTTGGCTGGGCACGACGTATCCATAAATTGAAATAACGATGGAAAAATGCATTAATTCTGTATTTTTCATTGTTTTCATGAAAACAGTACATATTATGACGTAATAGTGACGTCATCAGATAAAAAATCTTATGTTTTCATTTATATTTCTTGACTCTATGCCTTTCCAACCATTTTGTGCCAATTTGAAATAGTTTTCCAACTTTCTATTTTCATGGGCCAAAACCAGGCAATACTCCCTTAAGTAAAAAAAAATGTTTCTCCAGAATGTTGATTATTTTCTTTAATAATGGAGGTATGGTTTGTTCCTCTCATTGGTCAAAATTCAATTAGAATGCACATTTCATTGCTTTATCTCTGCTCTTGCTATTAATTTGTGACCTCATGAAAAAACGTAACCATTTCTGATGAGGTTGCACAGAAAAATCATTCTGCAGATCAAAGAAAAAGGATTTCAAAGATAAAATTTTGTTACTTATAAAAACAAAAAAAAAAGAAACAGATTCCTCCATACCATATTTCTCCACTCGGGCAAGTCTTGTCTTTAAAATTTTGATGACTCAACTCTCCAAAGAAGAAATATTGTGACAGTGGTAAAACTTATATAAATTGATAACTGTTAACTCACTCTTTCATGAACAATATTTCCTTCTTTGAGAATTATTTCCAGCTGATCCATGTGATAACTACTAAAGTTGCCATGACCACCTTGCTGTGGAGAATATTGTTTAGGTCTTGCACCACGTCCAAAATCTGGAGAAGTGTTTCTTCTATGTAATTCAGGTTTCTCAGCTCTTTTGTGAATAAGAAAAAAATAGAAAATTACATTAATGAACATACTGATTAGTAGTTATATAATAAGACCAAAAATACATGTACGACTTCTCTGAATTTTACTTTATTGTTCTGGAGAAAAAAAATTTACTGCAAAGATTATTTCCGCCAAACTCATCGGTGGCTCTTCTATCAAAAAATCAAACAATTAAAACTGGTTGTTAGCATTACTTAAATGTTCATGACTTGGTATTTTTACCGTTCGATTTTTTATAGGCATTTCATGATTGTGTCTTGCAATTTTGTGTTTTAAACAAACTATGATTATATCCATTGATCATTTAAGCAGCTAAAAGTAACCATACAGCCTTCAACAAGAGCATAAAAATCAGCTACAGAAGGCTCTTTGGTCGTAAAAAAAAATTAAAACAAAATAAAAATAAAATGCTCCGCTGGGCGCAGCTTGATATGACCGCAGAGGTCGAACCTTGAACAGTTGGGGAAAGTATGGACACAACATTCAAGCTTGATACAGCACTGAATTTGGATTGTGATTAAATATTTGACACAGCATAGGTTTCTGACACACAATGAATGTGGTCTAAGAACTTAAAAAATTTTAATTTACCTATTCAAACCATATCATTATTATTTGCTTTTATATATAAATCAGAAATAACCAATTTAAAAAGGAAAATTTTAAAGAAAAAAAAAGGAAAAAAAGGGAAAAAAAATTCCTTCTCCAAATTTTTTGAGCCCCTTATGATTCATCACCCCCAAACTCAATCCCAGCCTTCCCTTTGTGGTATGGTACCTTGCAGTAAACTCAATCCCAGCCTTCCCTTTGTGGTATGGTATCTTGCAGTACAATTTCAGAGAGATTCATACACTTGAACACAAGTTATTGTCTGGAAACTAGAAAAATGCTTGTTTTTAGGCCCCTTTTTGGCCCCAAATTCCTAAACATTTAGGGCAATTACCCCCAAACTCAAACCCAACTTTCTCTTTGTGATATGGAACCTTGTAGTACAATTTCATAAAGATCCATACACTTACACACAAGTTATTGTCCTGAAACTAGAAAAATGCTTGGTTTTTTTGCCCCTTTTTGGCCCCTAATTCCTCAAATTTTGAGGAATTACCCCAAAAAATCAATCCCAGCCTTCCCTTTGTGGTATGGTACCTTGCAGTACAATTTCAGAGTGATACATACACTTGAACACAAGTTATTGTCTGGAAACTAGAAAAATGCTTATTTTAAGCCCCTTTTTTGCCCCTAATTCCTAAACGTTTTGGGCAATTACCCCCAAACTCAATTCCAGCTTTCCCTTTGTGATATGGAACCTTGTAGTACAATTTCAGAAAGATCCATACACTTACACACAAGTTATTGTCATGAAACTAGAAAAATGCTTGTTTTTGGCCCCTTTTTTGGCCCCTAATTCCTAAAATTTTGAGGCAATTACCCCCAAAATCAATCCCAGCATTCCCTTTGTGATATGGAACCTTGTGGTACAATGTCAGAGAGATCCATACACTAACACACAAGTTATGTCTGGAAGTTACAAAAATGCTTATTTTTGTCCCCTTTTTGGCCCCTAATTCCTTAACTGTTGGTACCATAACCCCCAAAATCAATCCAAACCTTCCTTTTGTGGTATTAAACCTTATGGTAAAATTTCATAGAGATCCATTCACTTAAACTAAAGTTAGAGTGCGAAAACCAATGTGTCTTCGGACGACGACGACGACGACACCAACGTCATACCAATATACGACCGCAATATTTTTTTGCGGTTGTATAACAAGAGTGAATACGCTGAAATGTCTCGCCTGCTTTACTGATCATTGATTTTATGTTTAAAGTCCTTAATATAAAGCAAACTATCACATAAACTTAACATGATCCAGGAATGAGGTCAAGGTCAGGTAAACCAAACCGAAAATACCTTAGTCATTCCATACACCAAATATAGTTGACCTTTTGCTTATAGTTTCTAAGAAACAAACTTAACCAGGACAATTTAACATTAACCAATGAACCATGAAAATGAGGTCAAGGTCAGATGAAGCATGCCAGACAGACATGTGCACCTTACAATCAATCTATGCATTAAATTTAGATGACCTATTGCTTATAGTATTTAAGAAACAAACTTAACTATGAAAATTTAACATTCACTCATGAACTATGAAAATGAGGTCAAGGTCAGATGATACATGCCAGACGTCCATTAACCAGGACACCCTTGTTTTTTCTCACTTTTTTGCCCCTAATTCCTCAACGGTTTGAGCCATAACCCCTCAAAACCAATCCTAACCATCCCTTTGTGGTATGGAAACTTGTGGTATAATTTCAGAGAGATCCATACACTGTTCCACAAGTTATTGTCATGAAACTAGAAAAATGCTTATTTGGGCCCCTTTTTTGCCCCTAATTCCTAAACTGTTGGGACCATAACGCCCAAAATCTATCCCAACCTTCCTTTTGTGGTTATAAACCTTATGTTTAAATTTCATAGATTTCTATTTACTAATACTAAAGTTATTGTCTGGAAACAAAATGTCTTTGGACGACTACGACGACGTGATACCATTATACGACCGCAAAATATAAAAACTTAACGCTGAGTAATGAACCGTGGAAATGAGGTCAAGGTCAAATAAAATCTGCCAGACTTTGCAGTGTTGTAAAAGCACAACATTGTTAAACAAGAGTGCACACGCTGAAATGTCTCGCCTGTTTTACTGACCATTGATTTCATGTTGAAAATCTTAAAGATAAAGGTTTTACTACAAATATCACATAAACTTAACATTTTTAAAGATCCATGACAATGAGGTCAAGGTCAGATAAAAACTGTCACACAAAAGTTGACTCATTGCTTATGGTAATTGAAAAACAGACCAAAACACATAAACTTAATGTAAACCAATGAACCATGGAAATGAGGTGAAGGTCAGACATGTACACCTTACAATCATTCCATACACCAATTATAGTTGACCTATTGCTATTAGTATTTGAAAAACAGACCAAAACACAAAAACTTAAACTTGACCTATGAACCATGAACATGAGGTCAAGGTCAGATGACAACAGTTAGACAGACATGTACACCTTACAATCATTCCATAAACCAAATAAAGTTGACCTATTGCTTATAGTTCTTGAAAAACAGACCGAAACACAAAAACATAACATTGACCAATGAACAATGAAAATGAGGTCAAGGTTAGATGAAACCTGCCAGTCTGACATGTACCCCTTACAATCATTCCATACACCACATATAGTTGACCTGCTGCTTGTAGTATCTGAGAAACGGACCTAATCACATAACTTTAACCTTAATCACTGATCCATGAATTGAGGTCAAGGTCAGGTTAACCCTGTCTGATGGACATGTAGACATTGCAAGGAACCCATATACCAAATATAGTTATCCTATTACTCATAATAAGTGAGAAATTCACATGACAAAAAAACTGTAATTTTTTTTCAAGCAGTCACTGAACCATGAAAACGAGGTCAAGGACAATGGGCATATGACAGACAGAAACTTCGCAACATAAGGTATCTGCATACAAGGTATGAAGCATCCAGGTCTTCTACCATCTGAAATACAAAGCTTTATACAAAAAGTTGACGCTGCCGCCGCCGGTTAGTAATACCTATGTCTCGCATACTGTGACTTTCGTCAAAGGCGAGACAAAAACAAACTGTTAAAATAAGCTGGAAATGGCTTGACCCATCTGATTGGAACTAAGCACAACAAAATAACTTACATAACGACAAAAGACACAAACTAGTCTGATCCTAAGGTGTGTTTACACTGTACAATTTTCCATCTGATCCCAGGTAAATTGTACAGCAATCTGTTCACACAATACAATTTTCCATTTGATTAATCAAAGGAGATCCGATTTAAGTGTTCACACGGTTCCTTTTTTTGTAAAGACATCACAGGTAAAAAATCAGATGGAAAATTGTACCAAATGTAAACTCACCTGAAGAGTACTTGATCTTTAGTTTATTATTACCTATACTTTCTTGTCTTTGCTATGAACTTACTTGTGATCTGCTGGCAAAGATTTAACGGGATGTAAATCATGTGTTTCTTTCTTCCTCTCTATTTCAAATCCACATTTGTGTTTCTCTTCAAAAGTTGACAAAAATTTTCTCCCACTACCCGAGTCCAAAGATCTGGTCATTACGGCAACATCATTGTCTGAAAAGTAACATAAATCATAAAATAAATATTTAAACAAAGAGTCAAAAAATTGTTTATGTTATCTCACAACTTCTAGTTGTCGGCTCTCTGAACTTTCACAAAGTCCTGCGTCTAATAGTTGAATACTGAATTTATGAGCTTCGGTCCTTGCTTCATTTGAAATCTGGCCTCAAAAATCACCTTTATGTCTAAAAATAAAACATATATTCCATCCAAATTAATTCTTACCTTTGTTACTTATCTTTTGAAGATCAACTGGACCTTGCCAAATTGAAGTTACCAACTGTGAAATCTCTGCTTTTTTATCTTCCACAATAGCAGAATCTCCCTTCAGTTCAATAACTGTTGTCCGCTTGCGATTATCATGCTTGTACTGAAGACTACCATTTCTTTTACTGTAAAGACATGCATGTTATGTTATTTCAGAATTTTTCTACATACTGTAGATATATATATATTCAAGGGAATTCAGTTTTTCTAGATAATTTATTTCCTGGTTTTGACAAATTTTGTCTTTAAGCCTATAAAAGAGATGTGAAAGATACCAAAGGGACATTCAAACTCGTAAGTCGAAAATAAACTGCAACGCCATGGCTAAACTAGAGGCTCTCAAGAGCCTGTGTCGCTCACCTAATTCTACTTTGATTTTTGAAATCATGTAAAAATAGATTAAAATCATAACATTGTTTATGATACCCTAATAATGAGTGAGGCCAAATTTGGTTTAATATTGGTCCTGTAATATAATAAAAAAATCCTGGTGGCCATCTTTAACAAGTAAATCGGCAACAAAGTAGCAACACTTCATCAGCACCTCATAAGAAACATTTATGCCATGTTTGGTTTCATTCCATTCAGTGCACCTCTAGAAGAAGCATTTGTATGTATTTCCCATAGGGTCTTATGTTAAAGGAAATCCCCCCGCTGGCGGCCATCGTGGATGAAAGATCAGCTTCAAAGTAACAACACTTAGTCAGCACCTCATAAGGAACATTCATGCCATGTTTGGGTTCAATATATTCAGTACGTGGCTCTCTAAAAGAAGACATTTGTATGTATTGTCCATAGGGTCCTTTGTTAAACATTGTCCCCCACTGGCGGCCATCTTGGATGATGGATTGGCTTCAAAGTAACAACACTTGGTCAGCACTTCAAAAGAAACATTCATGCCATGTTTGGTTTCATTCCATTCAGTGGTTCTCTAAAAGAAGACATTTATATGTATTTCCCTTAGGGTCCTATGTTAAACTAAGTCCCCTGCTGGCGACCATCTTGGATGATGGATCGGCTTCAAAGTAACAACACTTGGTCAGCACCTCATAAGGAACATTCATGCCATGTTTGGTTTCATTTCATTCAGTGGTTCTCTAAAAGAAGACATTTGTATGTATTTCCCGTACGGTCCTATGTTAAACTAAGTCCCCCGCTGGCGGCCATCTTGGATGATGGATCAGCTTCAAAGTAACAACACTTGGTCAGCACCTCATAAGGAACATTCATGTCATGTTTGGTTTCATTCCATTTAGTGGTTCTCTAAAAGAAGACATTTGTAAATATTTCCCATAGGGTCCTATGTTAAACTAAGTCCTCCACTGGCGGCCATCTTGGATGATAGATCGGCTTCAAAGTAACAACACTTGGTCAGCACCTCATAAGGAACATTCATGCAATGTTTGGTTTCATTCCATTCAGTGGTTCTCTAAAAGAAGACATTTGTATGTATTTCCCGTAGGGTCCTATGTTAAACTAAGTCCCCCGCTGGCGGCCATCTTGGATGATCGATCGGCTTCAAAGTAACAACACTTGGTCAGCACCTCATAAGGAACATTCATGTCATGTTTGGTTTCATTCCATTTAGTGGTTCTCTAAAAGAAGACATTTGTAAATATTTCCCATAGGGTCCTATGTTAAACTAAGTCCTCCACTGGCGGCCATCTTGGATGATAGATCGGCTTCAAAGTAACAACACTTGGTCAGCACCTCATAAGGAACATTCATGCAATGTTTGGTTTCATTCCATTCAGTGGTTCTCTAAAAGAAGACATTTGTATGTATTTCCCGTAGGGTCCTATGTTAAACTAAGTCCCCCGCTGGCGGCCATCTTGGATGATCGATCGGCTTCAAAGTAACAACACTTGGTCAGCACCTCATAAGGAACATTCATGCCATGTTTGGTTTCATTCCATTCAGTGGTTCTCTAAAAGAAGACATTTGTATGTATTTCCCATAGGGTCCTATGTTAAACTAAGTCCCCTGCTGGCGGCCATCTTGGATGATGGATCGGCTTCAAAGTAACAACACTTGGTCAGCACCTCATAAGGAACATCCATGCCATGTTTAGTTTCATTCCATTCAGTGGTTCTCTAAAAGAAGACATTTGTATGTATTTCCCATAGGGTCCTATGTTAAACTAAGTCCCCCTCGCTGGTGGCCATCTTGGATGATGGATCGGCTTCAAAGTAACAACACTTGGTCACCACCTCATAAGGAACATTCATGCCATGTTTGGTTTCATTCCATTCAGTGGTTCTCTAGAAGAAGTTCAAAATGTAAAAAGTTAACGACGACGACGGACGACGACGGACGACGGATGACCGACGCCAACTGATGAGAAAAGCTCACTTGGCCCATCGGGCCAGGTGAGCTAAAAAGAAAAAGACCAACAGAAAAACAACAGTACACAAAACACAACATAGAAAACTAAAGACTGCGCAACACAAACCCTAACAAAAACTGAGGGTGATCTCAGGTACTCCGGAAGGGTAAGCAGATCCTGCTCCATATGTGGCACCGGTCGTGTTGCAACTTTTGTATGAACCTGGTAATAAGTCCAATTCTGTAGGCCAGATATACAAAACAAACATTTCAGTTATGATTAAAGGTTAATATTGGAGTCACACATCAGTGAGACAACAACCCAAAGACACAATAAACAAGGCCATCGGTAGAGGACAAATCCATAAACTAAGGTGCAGTCTCAAAAATATGGATACATTCTACTGTATCCACACAGAACTAGTCCATCTGTGTAATAAATTTTGTTTGATTGGATTCATCATTTTCTTTATAAACGTATGTTTTTATACCTGTCAATTTTATCATTTGTTTATTTACATTTTTTATTTTTTCCATAAATATTTAGGAAATTTCTGCCCTTTAATCATAACTGAAAAGTTTGTTTTATATATCTGGTCATGTAGTGTTCAAGAAAAAAAGATGTAATTTTATATAGGGCTTGATAAAACATATGAAATACTGTGGATTCATTTATTTTCTTGTATTGATGAAAAATTGTATTTTTGTGGTTATTCAATTTCGTGGTTTTGCGAACATTTTCATACAAGTCTATAAGAAACAAATTTAGCAATCTCACCTTATATCAGACTTTATTTTTTCTAATTTGTCCTTCATTCCATGATCAAAACACACAGATTTACTTCCCTTTATTTCAATCTTCTCTGATTTGGCTTCTGTATGTTTATTCAATTCTTTTTTTATCAAATCTTTAGCAGGCTGAAAATCACTTTTTTTGCCAGTGACTACAATAAGTTTCTTATCCTTAATCATTTCAACTTCAACTTTATAATGATTTTTAACTTTTGTAACTAAATCATTCCACTCTTTTGAGTTCACATATTTAAAATGTCCCTCATTGTAAGGAAGTTCAACCTTTTCTAAGTTTGACATGATTGTCTTAATCCCTTTCTCTGCCAAAGGTTTAGAAAATGCTTGACAGCAGAGCAAGTTGCCATCCTTTAAAGTACAGTAAGCATGAATTTTCTCTTTCTTTAGTGTGTCTTTTATCCAAGATGATTTTTCCTTTAAAATGGCAGCAAAACCTTTTGAAACATATTTTGTCTCTTCAACAGCTTCCTCTAAACATTCATACATGAATAATTTTGCAGCCATCACTGTGTCTTGTGAACCAATAAAAGTAATTTCATCATCAACAGAATTCAAGTCTATTTTGCATGCCGGGCATTCTTTGCTAAATCCTCTGATTTTTAACAATATTATTTTGCCCTTGTCCATATTTATTTTTTCTTTGTATTCATTTGCATTCTCGGACCTTTTTACCGATGGTCGAGGGGTTGCTGGAACAGGAGGCAAATTATCATCACTTATTTCTGAATAGATATGCTCTGATCGTGTAGTTTCTGTGAACTTTTTTTGTTTCAGTTTTTCAAAATATTTCCTTTCATCACCTCCTCCAGAGGCCACTGGAATTTGATAACCTTCACCATCTTCATAGTCTGTCATGTCTGCTGACAAAATTCTTATGGAACTGTTACTTGTTCTAATTCCTACATTATCCTTCCTTTTTTCAACTTTTTCTTCATCTTTTCTGACAGACTCATTTTCATATTTTCTGTCTATCATAGTCAAATACAGACCATTTGATTCCATTTCCTTCAGTGCCTCTATTACTTCTCTGTGAAATTCATGGTAGTATGGTTCAACTGTCAAAACTGTGCCTCTTATTTTGTGTGGACTTTTGAATACGTTTTGAAGAGCTACAATGAAAATAAATACATGTATTGAAATGCACACCGAAGACGATTTTTGTTGAAAATAGATGTTCAGATAAAATTTAAAGTATCTATTACTACACAGGAACTAACACTCATTTAAATTTCCATGTTGATTATTGAAAAAACATTGATTAGTAAAAATTTCCTTCTTCTGTCTTCTGTTATAAGTTATTGCTTCCTAGTGAAACTTTATATGGTACTTTAGTTAAATATATATATAAATTTGATCAAGACATTCCCTTTATGAATTGCCCATAGGATGATAGAGGAATTTAAATTATTAAGTAATTTTTTTTCAGTATTAACAATTAGTTTTCAATTAAAAATTTTAATGGAGATCTTGACTTCTTTTGAGGAACAAACTGTATTCACCAAATGTCTCTTTCTCCTATGAAGGAGGGTCTGGATGGGGTCTTCATTTCTTTAATATTTAATTTTTTATACCATTTTTCTGTATTCTTTATATGTTTTGCCTATTAACCTCTATTCGATATATTTTAGCACCCCATTTATCTCTTTTCTTTATTTTTGGCCTATTTTTCCCTATTTTAGTCCATTTTGATGTAGTCAAGGTCAATTCGAACATAAATTAACCCATACAAATCATCAAAAGACATTTCATATACTTTATATTCACCTGTGATAAGAAAATTTACTCAAAAAACAAGCATTCTGAGAGTATTGCATAGCAATACATAGTCCCCTACCGGTTAAGAATTCATTGTCCTGGAACAAAAGCTAACTTGATTTATAACTTGTCATGGTGTAAAATATATAACAAATATAAAGTCAATATCTTCAAACATGACAAAAAAAGTGTGGAAAACTGATTATTTGAGTGAATTTCCTAAGTTCAAGGACCATTACTATGCACAAAATCATCAGACCAGAACAAAATCGAACTTGATCTGTAACGTGCCATGATAAAACTATATACAAATTATCAAATCAATATCTTCATGCATGTCGAAAAAAAGAAGTGTGGAAAACTGATTATTTGAGTGAATTTTCTAAGTCCAAGGACCATAACTCTGCACAAAATCATCAGACCGAAACAAAATTTGAACTTGATCTGTAACTTGTCATGATGAAACTATATACCAAATATCATATCAATATCAACTGATTTGCCGGACTGATGGTTGGACAGAGAGACAGACAGACGGAGTACAAACCTTAAGTCCCCTTCGACTTCGTCGGCAGGGGACTAATAAGTTTGGTTGCATATATCCTTTGTTAGAAAATTCATCAACATCAAGAAAAATTCTTGGATATCCAGGATACCAATCAGGAACAAACCAGCACTGTCTGAGGGGATGGTTATATAAACCTGGAAGTGTTAGGTTTTTATTCATATAGAAGTACCTCTTAGGAATAAAGATTGATTTGAAAATTAACTTTTGTGAATACTTTGTGGGTTAAGAGTAGAGAATTAGTTTTTTCTGCCATTCATCACATATTCATAAAATCAGCATATTTGTTCATCTTTTTAACTTTTCAAAGTTAGAACTTTTTTTGTTTAAAGTACATTTTTTGAAAGACAGGCAGAAAAAAAGGAAACAACTAATATCTACATCCTCCTCTGTTTTCCCATTATTCAAACAGTTTCTAATATAGGAATAACTTAATCTGTCTGTCTGCGCTGTCATGGTCATTATGAACTAAAATGCCACAAAGGATAGTAATCACTCTTTGAAATTTGCTCAAAATAAGTGCAATTCAAATTTGATCTGATGAATCTGTTCTTCGTATTTTATTTCTTTTGCAAGCTTAATATCATCCTTTATTTCCCAGTAAATTTAGGCCAGGAATTTGACATATGAAAATTGGTTGATTGAATGGTTGCTTAACATCCAATGACAATGTAACACTTAGGTGATCGAGTGACCATAGATACCCCACATAACTTTTGTAAAAAAATGTCCACTCTGTCAAAATCAAACTTGTATATAATATAGTCAATGATATTTTTTTTATATTTAAAAAGATTTTGTCGAGTGGAACATTCACTTTTATCCAGACAGTATGATAAGACCAAATTTTGGCCCCTTAAAAAATCAAAAATCAAAAAGCGTTAAAAATCTATCAAATGACATCTTTCAGATGTTCATAAAACATAAGTTAGTTTGTTGTACAACAGCATTTACATTTTTCAATTTGTCCTACATGTAGGCATTAGGGCTTCAAACATCATATATTTAGTGCAAAACAGTCAACACTGCCAAAATAGCCTCATTTTGAGATGTTGTCATACTGATATTTACATATGTCAAGCAACAGCTTTATCGAAAAAGATGCAAAATACATTTACAAAAGATGTTAATAAATCCGAACTATAAAAAGACAACAACATCCTAGTTACAGCAAGGAAATTATTTATTGTGTCAACATATTTCACTACTTAGAATGGCCTCTTCAGAACACTACAAATATAGGAAACAAACACTGATTACATTTAATGTGGGTCATGTGGGATGATTAATTTCATTATTTCCAAGCAGCTGTCTTTTTATATTTTGGATTTAAAAGGTTTTCAGACAACTGCAACATACTGTGGATTCATTATTATTCGTTGGATACCACTTTTCGTGAGTTTCGTGGGTACAGGTGAACCATGAATTCAAATGTTCAACTAATTACAAATTTTCTATAGGCTTTGTATTTATTGATTGTCGAAATCACAAAATGAAATATCCACCAAAATGCGAGATTTTTTCAATCAACGAAAATTGATACCCATGAGTCAACAAAAAGTACTTTGGTATCTATCCTGATTACTCTACCAGCTTGTATCGCCAGATTTAAAGATGTTAATAAGTGTGAAATATCTTTTTGGGGTAAAGCTGTTTGCTCATATATATTTTGACCAAAACAAATCCAACAAATGGCTTTTTTAGGTCAAAAACCTTATGATGTCAAAGTGTATCCAAAACTGTAACCTTTCTGCACTGAAGTGTCCAGATCATATCAACCTGTTCATTATTTTGAAAGGCTTGAAAAGGTGTACTATTTTAACAATTTCAGGGGAAAAATAACGGGTCTTATCATACCTCCTTCTTTGTTTTAAAGAAAATTAAGGCGCATAAATCTTAATCAGTGAATGTCAAGTGGTACCTTAGTTATCATCCTGAAACCAAATAAATCCCTATGTTTAAGATAATTGAATGTAAAATATCACCTTTATTTTATGGACCATGATGTTGTGTTCAAAATGTTCAAATTTAAAAAGATTCTATCAAATTGTGCTTAAGTTATCATGTTAAAACAAAAACAAAAACTCAATTTTTGAAAATAATTCAGGGGCATTACTTGTCAAGATTGAACTTGACCTTTTTTTTTATTGCTTAAATTAAAAATAAAGGATGATATTAAACTTGCTGAAGAAATAAAAAATATGAAGAACAGTATATCAGTACAAATTTTTAAAAATTTTGAGAACTGTTACTTTGATAATGATCAACCAGAAACAACAACAAAATTAAAAAAAATGGATTACAATGAAACTATACATGTGAAATACATTTTCCTTAAACTTTTAATGCATCTCTTTCCAATAATATATCATTATAAAACTGTTTTTATTTTCCCTGAATTAATGTCTTAAATAAGGAAAAGAGTGTATACATTGTTGAAATACAGTCAGAAATATTGCTACAGATCTAGAGGTAAATACAAGTTTTCAGAGACAATTCAAATCAAATCAAATCATTTTATTTCCCAATTAAAGGGACCTTATGTTCCTATCAATTACAAATAAATGGAGTATGTGTCCATGAGACACTGATTATGCCCCTGCTTGCATATAACGTTATAAAGGGACATTATTCAAGAACAGTAAAGGTGACCCTACCCAAAGTTGAACTTGATCTGAGTTTTGTGGTAATAAGCATTGTATATAAGTTTCATAACATATGGTTGAGGCACTTCAATACTTAATTGATAAGGGGTGTTGCTGGGGTTCTGTTACCCCACCCTTTTCATATAATTTAGATTTTAAAAATGTATTCATTTTCATATATTGTATAGGTCAAAATGTAATCTTTTCCCATATTTTAATTATGAGTCCAGGAGCGGATGATAATCACATTCTGGCATAATAGAGAAAAATATCACCTTTGCTCAGAGCTTGGATCTGAGGCTCAGACTCCTTATGTGATGTTTACTTACGGCCAGACTTTCAGCTGTGAAAAAATTACAGAGCTTTTCATATAACAAGTAATGGGAACTTTATTGACCTTATCATATATTTCAGATAGTTTTTCCTACCTATTCAAATATTTTCAAGCTGGAAAACATGACCTATTCCAGCAGCATGTTATATCAACTTGTATATAGGAAGTAGACCCCCCTAGTATTTAATAAATAGACTATCAAATAAAACTTTTCTTGATGCAGCATATAAAGGACATTCCAATACAAAATGGAGCTCGTCCTCAATCACGTTCAAATTACAATATTTACAAAGTCTTTCACATCTTGAAATATATTCCAGTTTACTTGAAGAGTTCAACCTGCATTCATGACAACCAGTTTCAATTCTTAATTTAAGATTACTCAATCTCAATTTTGTTAGAATTTTACAATCATCAGTATGTGTATAGGATAAATAGTTCTCTCTAACAAAGGAGAATTTGAATTTAAAATATGTACTTAATTTGCCTTCATCATGTGAATAAGAAGACCTTACTTCCTTCCAGGTCTCAAGGAAGCTGTTTCTGAGGCAAATTTAAACTTAAATTTATGTTTTCTCCAGTTTTTACAATAGGTCAGATGAATGTTTAAATTTTCACCATAAAAGAATAGGTTCGTGAAACAAGCGTTATGACCTTTGTTTATGCTGTGCAAATGACTATAATCCTTGTATGCATTTTTTGAGTAAGTTTAATGGTGAATTTTGTAGTCTATGCCAATACATGAAGATTTGTTTTAACATTTCTAAGTAAAGAGGATGTCTTCAGAGTTCTGTTATAACTCCAATGTTTGTCCAAGTATGTATTTGCAAAACTTGAAATGGAGTTTTTCAGTCTCCCAGTCTTTGAATATATTAATATAAGAGTTAATGATTTTCTCTTTGGAATAATATTTATTACTACCCAATTCTCACAAAGTTGAAATTCTGGATAACTCGAACAGGGTGTTTGGACCCTAAACAGTAATAAGTATACATATTTACTCCTTATATCTCAAATTTTCGCTTGATTCAAACTGATTTCTCTGGTCCCAAGCAATTTGACATAACAAGAGTAGACTGTAGTTGCTTTCTAGCCTCATTAAATTTCCCAGTATTCTCAATAATAAGGCCCAAGTATGTATATTGCTTTACATAATTTACCTGAATCCAAAGACTTATAAAATAACACTGCTATCTGCACTTTCTCGTGCCTTGTACAGCGTACTACTTCTGCCCCCAAACCAGCAACTTGAGGACGCTCAAAATATAGCTCTAACTCATCCTGAGTAGCCTCCCTTGGTATATCAAATACAATAATACCACTAGGATTATTCAGTAACTCTATATGGACCACTTGTTTTTCTAGTGATTTCTTGGTGGTGTTCTCTTGAACAGGTCTGATATCTGAAAAAGGTGAAGTTCATTGAGAGATAAAACTCAGATAACAAATTACATGAAGTTGGATTTCTATTATTATTATCATATATTCATTCAAATACGTTATATCTTTTGTCTGATACACTTTTGTAGACCAAATGGTCTGAGATATTTTTAACAATGTCATGAAGCATAAAATTTCAGACATTCAGGGTAGTCAGGGATACCAGAAGAAATGAGGATGTAAACTTGTGTGAAAATAAGATAGAAAGAAAGAGGAAATGGAAGCAAGAACTGCATGAAGAACTAACTCATGTAACCTAATCCTAAAAGAGGTATGTTATATATAAATGGATCAACTGAAAGTGCTTACAACAAGGAATTGTATATGTTTAAAAGGAATGGAAACGCGGCTTGAGATCAATCGGGACTCAAGTGGATCTATAATCCATGTCTGACTCGGTCGGAAGTATGATGAATAATATAAAGGATCATGACGGAGGTTCATTCCCTGTCATATATGTCGGTCATCTAACTTCACTGGGTCGTCTTGCTTGAGAAGATATAAAGGAGAGAAAAAACCCAAGTCAAGTATAAACTACTATTACATGTAAAAGCTAAGGCCTTAGGTATCCTTTTGATCACTTTTTGGACATACGTTTGCAATGAATTCTTATGAAAAGTATTATTAAAATAGACCTTGGTTTTGAAATTTGTGAGAGTTTCATCCCGATTACAAAACAAAAAATACAGTGTTTTGATTTTTTTCTAAAGGCTCTACAACCATGAAAGGCAAAACAAAATAGTTGATATCATTATGAAGCTGAAACTTTATTCTAGAACTTTGGCTATTTTTTATGTTTCTGGTAAAATTTCTAAATTTTCTACCATTTTCCAAAACTTTAGTTTGGAATTTCATTATTCTGTCAAAACGTGTCTTTCAATCTGGCAGCGTAATACGATTGTTTTTCAAATGTTGAAAAGTAGAAAGAACAAAGTGACAACATGAAATACCATTTTAAAGAAGAAACATTTTCCTACAATTTGGTCTAAATTACGAATGCTAAATGTTATTTGTGTATTGTAAATGATTTTATTTCGAAACATACTGAAAATTTTAAGTAGTGCATCAAAAAAATACACCAACACACTATATTCTGGTAAGGGTTAAATAACTCCCTGAAATAGACATGGCAATGAAATACAATTCAAAAGCTTAACCTTTTTTCTATAACATGGTGTTGGTTTTATGAAAATGGTCTAGAAACAAATTTTCTATGATTTTTCAAAATCCCTTGTTTATAGTTTACATTGACGCCATTTTGTTCAGTCAAGTTCCAGACCGAACAAAGTCTGAAAATACAGACAAAAAATGTATAGACTTCCACTTTGAAATCGACTGTGTCGTTTTCTACACGATTTAATTCATTTATTTTTTTTCAAATACAACTTTATATTTGATATTGCAGTTTGCCATAACTGAGCGTTGTCGCAAATTACCATTAAACAGCATAACAGTTCTTTCCTTTTTTCTCACAGAGCAGTATAGTCTAGAGGTCGCAAAATATGCTTAAGTGTTAAAAATACCAACAAATATATGGATGTTGGAAAGTTTTAACTGTTTCCATTTGAAAATTTAATTGCACTGCGGCATCATTTGGCATTAATTAACAGGTGTGCTCGGCGTGAATCGTTGTTGACATCTTAAATATATATGACAAAAAAGAGCGTATCATGATACATAATAGATTACTAGTATACCTGCAAATAGGATATCCCATACCGGTGTATATTATAACACCTTTAATCTAAGTTCTTGTATCTATATAAAATACTACATCTGTTCACATACTTCTTCCTTTATACTTTTCTACACCAGTCATATTCCAAAATTGAAAAGTTATTTTTTCACTTTTTGCATTACTTTTCTTTTTAAAAACTCGTATAATGTCGGATTTCATCTAATTGTTGCATACCTTCATGAAAAATCAAGACCAGGAACAAGAATAAAAATGTTTTTCAGAAGTAACTTTGTATAAGGTTGTATTGTTATATTGTTGTATTTTTTTTTAGTTATTTCATTTAAGGAATTGTATATTTAAATATACAATTCCTTGTTTCATTTCATGATTAAATGACCAAGTTCGATAACTACTGCCAGATAAATAATGAGCCAGTTAGGGCGATGGGATGTAATTAACGCACCGCCCAAGACAGAGATGTATCATAAAATTTTCTTTGAAGTCAGGAGCGTTTCCATTCCTTATAAATATACAATTCCTGGTTTACAATGAAACTTTTATAAAATATAAATTTCAAAGAGGAATAACTCCTACACAGATAATTGCTCTGCGCTGATTTCAAACATATCCCAGACATTCCTGATATAAACCTTTGATATAAATTTCATAAAAATCTAGCATAAATTGTAATTTCAAAATGCTTACGATGCAATTATCCAAAGAATTTTATTTTGGAGGGGCATTTATTAAGCCCTTTCTCATTTTGTTGAAAAACAAGTGTTTCCAAAAGGCCTGTCTCCCCTCACCTGGTATCTATACATATTGGCTAGTGTTACTGCAAGATGATGAAAAGAGTGTGGTGCATTGGCAGTTAAAAGCGCCATTAAAAAATGTAAAATAGCTCCTTTAAAACTTTGTTACTAAGTAATTGTTCTATAATCAAAGCACAAGCCGGGTTGAATCAGAATATCTTATATAATTAGTAGTAACACTGAAAATATTGAAATCTTACATAAATAAAAAACCTATTTTCATATAAATGAAAGTTTTTTAAAAGTGCATTTAACTTTTTCTAATACCGTCTCTTAAGAATATATATTTTGTAAATTAAGAAATTATTGTGTTCATCTATAGCTATCAATACCAGTGTTGAATCACAGACAGGTTTTTCTCATTGTTGAAGGCTGTACGGTTGCCTATAATTGCTTACATCCACTTCATTTGAATATTTGGTGGATAGCTGTCTCATTAGCAATCATACCACATCTTATCTTTATATAAATGTGAAATAAAATTGAGAATGGAAACGGGGAATTTGTCAAAGAGACAACAACTCAACCAAAGAGCAGAAAACAGGCCATATGCCACCAATGGGTCTTCAACACAGTGAGAAAATCCCACACCCAGAGGCGGTCTTCAGCTGGCCCCTAAACAATAATGTATACTAGTTCAGTGAAAATGGACATAACACTTAACTCTGAAACATATTAATGAACCAAAATTAAAAAAAACATACAAGACTAACAAAGGCCAGAGGTTCCTGACTTGGGACAGACGCAAAAATGCGGCGGGGTTAAACATGTTTATATAAAAAATATGAAATCCATTAATGTGATTTCAGAATTTACAGCATGCAACTAATACTTACAGAATTTGAAATATGAGGTCTAATAATTGCTATATAAAAATAAGGAGTTAAAGTATGATTGCCAATGAGACAACTATCCATTAGATGCCAAAGGACGAGGATGTAATCAACTATAGGTCACTGTTTGATCTTCAACAACGAGCAAAACCCATATTGTATAGTAAGCCCTGGGATGACAAATGGTCCTATCTCATCAATTTTTTTATATTTACAAAAACATTACAAATCTAAAGTAGCCCAATTTAATCCTATTTCAGACACTCACACAAAGAACAAAAGGTAAAACTCCTTTGTAAATTCAAATATCAAAGCAAGATGATATTTAGACTCTAAAGTTCTGTAAATAAATTAATGAAAGCAAGCCATGGTAAAAAAGGTCTTACAAGATGCTTCTGTTATCACTTTACAAAACTATTCATCTTTAGTTCATAACCAATTAACAATTTAAAACTGCTTTTGTGACCGTCAAATCCCTAATTGACTGTGGTTACACTTCAAAAGATACTGTTAATCCTGCTCAAATGCAATACAAGTCAAATTTTCAGAACGTTAAATTTGAAATATCCTGGCTAGTTAAAGGTTCAAAATTAATCTTTTGAATTTTTGAAATATCCGTGGAGAACATATAGAACACGATTCACAATGTTGTTGATAATGACTGACTTTCAGTCAACCTTGGATTTGATGGAAGACACCATTCAATCAAATGCATTGTTACAAATTATATTGCATAAGAATATATTTTTAAAAATTCAAATGGCATAAAAATGGCAGAAATTGTGCAAAAAAAAACCTGATGATGAAGCCCTAAAATATAGGAATACAAACCTGTGATCTTTTCTTTAAGGTACATAAGAGCCACTTGTCGGACTTTTTCGCCATTTGTTGGCAAATGGAAATAAAGATGATCAACATCCACTTTGGAAATTACTTCTATGTAATTGCGTAGCGTTTCATCAGTAACTTTCAGAGGGATGTCCTGAAAAATATAAAAAAATGAACTCTTAGAAATTTAAGTTTACAATTAACAAAGAGTTTTGAATCTCCACTGTCTTGTAACAAATATTACAGTATTTGTTCCAAACAGAATAAAGGGTATAGAATATTTGTTCCAACAGAAACACATATTATGGCACTGTTTATAACAAAGTTTCCAGGGGAACTTCTTTTAGACATTACAAATATTTGACAGATTCATTATAAAGGCATTACACTTGACACATATACTGTACTTGGTTTAAGTAATACAAATTTTAGCCTTATAAAATATAAAAATAATGGAATCCAAAGCAACATGATATATCATTTGTTTTTGTTTTACATGTTTTAAGGACAATTCAGTGAACAGGCCTAAATGTAAACGGTGTATTGTTCTCTTTACCAAACGTTTATTACTCTTTTGTGTAGTTTCTACAAAATACTGTTGTAAGGGGCAAGGATGCAAACTAATGCTTTAAACAGTTCATTTGTTTATCTTTCTAATTTTTTTTTTATTCAAAATTATGAATATGCATCTTCAAGTTCCAAAATAATTTGCACCTACCAAATTAGTTGTTCAGTGATTATTTGACTTTAATTAAAATGATGCATTTTATCTTTTAGCTCCATACTATAATTTGTGTATAAATAATTATATAAAATAAATAAATGGAGAATGTGTCCATGGGACACAGATGATGTCCCCGCTTGCATATAACGTTATAAAGGGACATAATTCAAGAATGATAAAAGTGACGCTACCAACTGCAAATTCGTACTTGATCTAAGTTTTGTGGTAATAAGAATTGTGTATAAATTTCATAATATTTGGTTGAGGCTAACTTAAGTTAAAGAACTGAAACTAAAATTCAGCAATTTTTCCATATGTAAAAGGGCATATCTCTAGAAAGGTAAAAGGGAGTTCACCCAAATTCAAACTTGATCTGTGTTCTTGTGGTAATAAGCATTATGTATAAGAGTCATAACATTTGGTTGTAGACAAATTTAAGTAAGAGAACTGAAATGAATAATAAAGGGGCATAACTCTAGAAAGGAAAAAGTGACGCCACCCAAATTGAAACTTGATCTGTGTTTCATAGTAATAAGCATTTTGTATAAGATTCATAACATTTAGTTGAGGCAAACTTAAGTAAGAGAACAGAAACGAAATTCAGCAATTTTTCCATTTGTAAAGGGGCATAACTCTAGAACATAAAAGTGACACCACAAAAATTCAAACTTGATCTGTGTTTTATAGTAATAAGCATTGTGTATAAGAGTCATAACATCTGGTGGAGGCAAACTTAAGTTAGAGAACAGAAACGAAAAATTCAGCAATTTTTCCATTTGTAAAGGGACCTAACTCTAGAACGGTAAAAGAAATGCTGCCAAAATTCAAACGTAATCTGTGTTTTGTGGTTATAAGCATTGTGTATAAGTTTCATAACATTTGGTTCAGGCAAACTAAAGTAAGAGAACGGAAACCAATTACGGGACGTACGGACATACAGACTGACAAGGGTAAAACTTAATGACCCTCTGCCATGGCAACGGCATACAAAATTTGTAAATTATACAGTTGCATTAAACTTTTAATTGCCATTGGAGCAGATGAATAAACATTCCAAATATGCAAAATTTATCATTTTTTTATCTTCTTTAATAAAGAGTTCCATTTGTTTTTTTTTTTAATTTCAACTGGATATCTGCCTGTGTGGTCATATAAAAAACTGTTACCCTAATAATGAAACTGCCTTTTTTTAAATTACCTTAATGACCAAAATATACTTTTCTCTGTGAGACAACCATAGCTTTGTTAGTTCTTGATCTTCCATCTGTCAATTCAAGTATCTACAAAAATGGATAACAACATATAATAAGTAATACTAGGTTTAATCTGATTTATAATAAATAAATGGAGAATGTGTCCCCATCATGGGGACAAGATGATGCCCCTGCTTGCATACAACATTATAAAGGGACATAACTCAAGAACGATAAAAGTGGCGCTACCCAAATTTGTACTTGATCTGAGTTTTAAGGTAATAAGTATTGTGTATTGGTTTCAAAATGTTTGGTTGGGGGAAACTTAAGTTACAGAACGGAAACTAAACATTTTGTAATTTTTCCATTTATAAAGGGGCATAACTCGATGATTAAAGTGACGCTACCAAAATTCAACTTGATCTGTGTTTTGCGGTAAAAAGCATTATGTATAAGTATCATAACATTTGGTTGAGGCAACTTAAGTTAGAGAACGGAAACTAAAAATTTTGCATTTTTTCCATTTATGAAGGGGCATAACTCTAGAACAGTTAGAATGACTCTACCAAAATTCAATCTTGATCTGTATTTTGTGGTAATAAGCATTGTGTATAAGTTTCATAACATTTGGTTGAGGCAAACTTAAGTTGGAGAACAGAAACTAAAAATTTTGCAATTTTTCCATTTATAAAGGGGCATAACTCTAGAACGGTTAAAGTGACGCCACCAAAATTCAAACTTGATCTGTGTTTTGTTTTAATAAGCATTGTTTATATGTTTCAAATACATTTGGTTGAGGCAAACTTAAGTAAGAGAACGGAAACTAAACATTTTGTAATTTTTCCATTTATAAAGGGCATAACTCTAGAACAGTTAGAGTGACGTCACCAAAATTCAACTTGATCTGTGTTTTGCGGTAAAAAGCATTGTGTATAAGTTTCATAACATTTGGTTGAGGCAAACTTAAGTTAGAGAACGGAAACTAAAAATTTTGAAATTTTTCCATTTGTAAAGGGGCATAACTCTAGAATTTGAACTAATTGAGGTATGATGCATTGATCAATATGACCTGCATGGCGAACAGCAAGAAACCATGCAACAAAGTATTGCTAAATATTTTAGAAAGGGCACTCCATTAACTTTGTCTGTTACTAGGGACTATATTTGACACCCACTTTGCATTAAGTAGCAAACACTGAACTTGTAAAGCATACTCAGGCTAGCAGGTCTATTTTGCTGGGCTAACAATTATTCCAACAAACAGAACAAGAGGCTGTCAGAGTGACAGCAAACCGGATTTTCCTGCAAAAGTCAAACCCTGAACAGTTGAGCAAGTATGGACACTTCATTTAAGCTTAAAACTGATCTGAATTTGGATTGTGGTTGAATATTTGACACAGCATAGGTTTGTGACACAAAATGAATGTGGTCAAAGAACTGAAATATTTGAAATTGGACATTTATTTAATTACCTACTATGGTCCAATATCCAAAATCTAAGTACATTGTCAGAATCAGCATATCAAAGAACTCCAAAAATTCATTTTTCAATGAAATCAAACAAAAGTTTAATTTAGGACCCTTTGGACCACAATGTAGACCAATTTGATAAAGGAGCTCACAATCCAAAATCTCTCAATACATGGTAAGATTCAGCATTTCAAGGAACCACATAAATTCAATTTTTGTGAATCAAACAAAGTTTAATTTTGGACCCTGATTTGGACCAACTTGAAAACTTGGCCCAAAAATCTAATACTTATATACAGGTTTAGATTCAGCATTTGAAAGAACCCTATATATATTTAATTTAAGTTGAAAACTTGAAATGAAACACAATTTAATTTTATCCATATATATATCAACAACCAGTGATGACTAAGTTCTCTTAAATTAGATATGATTTAACACTCAAACATTGTTAAAATCAGCATATCAAAGAACCCAAGAATTCAATTGTTGATTAAACAAAAGTTTACTTTAGGACCCTTAGTACCTCGATGTGGTATTAACTAACTAATAATGAAAATAAATACAGGTTTAGATTCAGCATTTCAAAGAATCCTATATATATTCAATTTATGTTGAAATCAAACACAGTTTAATTTTGGACCCTAATTTGGACCAACTTGAAAACTGGGCCAAAAATCAGAAATCTAAATATATGTTTATTAATAGACAATCAAAGCTAAGTTTTAAAAGGAGTTCACCTAATCCAAAAAATATATATAGCATTCAGAAAATTAGTTTTTACAGAATAACAAACAATTTACAATTTACCAAAGTAAAGAAAAAAAATTAAAAAATTTATTTATCATTAATACAATGTCTTTTAAAAATCTATAAAACTTATCTGTAATTATCTTCAAAATGTCTAATAATGAACTATATAGCTTTTAATCATCAACACTCAGAAAACAGAAAATTTTCAAATAAATCTGTCACTCAAGATAAGACATTAACCATATGTTTAGTAAACTGATTACAGGACTTATAAACAGGTGAAAATTATCTATAAAGGCTTAGTGTAATCAAACTTAATATATATAATTAACAATTTCTGTTCAAAGGAAAATAACTCAATCACAAAAAAGACCCCAGGGGACTCGACTTTTATTTCATTTGATTTGTTTTATTGTAATATACAAGAAGAAAAATGGTTTCAGGGTGGGGATCTTGACTGTTTACAAGTTTTCCAAAAAAAGGGGGTGGTGGTTACCCCAGGGGACTCACCTTTTATTTCATTTGATTTGATTTATTGTCCCATAAAGGATTATATATGGTTTAGGGGTGGGGATCTCAACCGTTTACAAGTTTTCAAAAAGAAGGGGGTGGGGTTTACCCCAATGGACTTCCCCTAAATTTCATTTGATTTGTTTAATTGTCCCATACAAGAATATATATGGTTTAGGGGAGGGGATCTCAACCGTTTACAATTTCTCAAGCAGAAGGGGGTGGGGGTTACCTCAATGGACTTCCCCTAAATTTCATTTGATTTGTTTAATTGTCCCATACAAGAATATATATGGTTTAGGGGAGGGAACTCAACCGTTTACAATTTCTCAAGCAGAGGGGGGTGGGGGTTACCTCAATGAACTTCCCCTATATTTCATTTGATTTGTTTTATTGTCCCATTCAAGAATATATATGGTTTAGGGGTGGGGATCTCAACCGTTTACAAGTTTTCAAAAAGAAGGGGGTGGGGTTTACCCTTGTGGACTTCCCCTAAATTTCATTTGATTTGTTTAATTGTACCATACAAGAATATATATGGTTTAGGGAAGGGGATCTCAACCGTTTACAATTTCTCAAGCAGAAGGGGGTGGGGGTTACCCCAATGGACTTCCCCTAAATTTCATTTGATTTGTTTAATTGTCCCATACAAGAATATATATGGTTTAGGGGAGGGGATCTCAACCGTTTACAATTTCTCAAGCAGAAGGGGGTGGGGGTTACCTCAATGGACTTCCCCTATATTTCATTTGATTTGTTTTATTGTCCCATTCAAGAATATATATGGTTTAGGGGAGGGGATCTAGACCGTTTACAAGTTACCAAAAAGAAGGGGGGTGGGGGTGACCCCTATGGACTTCCCCTATATTTCATTTGATTTGTTTTATTGCATACAAGAATATATATGGTTTAGGGGTGGGGATCTCGACCGTTTACAAGTTCTCAAACAGGAGGGGTGGGGATGAGCCCAGGGGACTTGCCTTTTATTTTTGATTTGATTTGTTTTATTGTCCCATACAAGAATATATATAGTTTCAGGGTGTGGATCTTGACTGTTTACAAGTTTTCAAAAAGAAAGGGGGTGGGGGTGACCCCCATGGACTTCCCCTATATTTCATTTGATTTGTGTTATTGTCCCATAAAAGATTATATATGGTTTAGGGGTGGGGATCTCTACCGTTTACAAGCTTTCAAAAAGAAGGGGGTAGGGTTTACCCTTGTGGACTTCCCCTAAATTTTATTTGATTTGTTTAATTGTCCCATACAAGAATATATATGGTTTAGGGGAGGGGATATCAACCGTTTACAATTTCTCAAGCAAAAGGGGGTGGGGGTTACCCCAATGGACTTCCCCTATATTTTATTTGATTTGTTTTATTGTCCCATTCAAGAATATATATGGTTTAGGGGAGGGGATCTAGACCATTTACAAGTTATCAAAAAGAAGGGGGGTGGGGGTGACCCCCATGGACTTCCCCTATATTTCATTTGATTTGTGTTATTGTCCCGTACAAGAATATATATGGTTTAGGGGTGGGGATCTCGACCGTTTACAAGTTCTCAAACAGGAGGGGATGGGGGTGACCCCAGGGGACTCACCTCTTATTTCATTTGATTTGTTTTATTGTCCCATACAAGAATATATATGGTTTAGGGGTTGGGATCTTGACTGTTTACAAGTTCTTTAACAGGAGGATGTGGGCCCGGTGGGGGTGACCCCAGGGGACTCGCCTTGTATTTCATTTGATTTGTTTTATTGTCCCATACAAGAATATAAATGGTGTCAGGGTGGAGATTTTGACCGTTTACAAGTTTTCCAAAAAACAGGGGGTGGGGGTGACCCCAGGGGACTCCCCCTATATATCATTTGATTTGTTTTATTGTCCGATTCAAGAATATATATGGTTTAGGGGTGGGGATCTCAACGGTTTACAAGTTCTTAAACAGGATGGGGTGGGGTGACCCCAGGGGACTCGCCTTTTATTTCATTAGATTTGTTTTATTGTCCCATACAACAATATATATGGTTTCGGGGTGGGGATCTTGACAGTTTACAAGTTTTCAAAAAGATAGGGGGTGGGGGTGACCCATGGACTTCCCCTATATTTCATCTGATTTGTGTTATTGTCCCGTACAAGAATATATATGGTTTAGGGGTGAGGATCTCGACTGTTTACAAGTTCTCAAACAGGAGGGGGTGGGGGTGACCCCAGGGGACTTGCCTTTTATTTAATTTGATTTGTTTTGTTGTCACATAGAAGAATATATATGGTTTCAGGGTTGGGATCTTGACTGTTTTCAAGTTATCAAAAAAAAGGGGGTGGTATTTACCCCAATGGACTTCCCCTATATTTCATTTGATTTGTTTTATTGTCCCATAGAGAACGAAAACCAATTTTGGGACATACAGCATACGTACTTACAGACAGACAAGTGTAAAACTTAATGCCCCTCAACTACAGCACAGGCATAAAAGTGTGGCAAACTGATTTGCCAAACTGAAGGACAAACAGACAGAGAGACAGACAGACAGACATACAGACACACAGCCTACCAAAAAAATTTCAAACAATTTACCAATGATATTTCGCCAATAACTCAAATTTATTTCCATGAACCAGTAACAAAACACCAAAATAATTCTCTAAAATTAGATATGACTTAACCACTCATAAATCTCTAAAATTAGATATGATTTTATATCTATCAATTAAACACATCACTTTTCAAAACAAATAACTCAAACTTATTTCCATACACCAGTAAAAAACAAGCAAAACACTTCATTAAAATCAGATATGATGTTATATCTATTTCCATATTATAATCAAATTTAATTAATAGTTGCTAATATTGTTTCTTTCATGTGTCAAAAAATAATACAGATCTGCAACTTATCTATCAATGTCAAAAACTTTATCTCATAATAAAAATAGATTTTTATATAATTAAAAACAAGTTTAGATTCAGCACTTAAAGAACCCTATATATATTTAATTTATGTTCAAATATAACACACACAAACTGATTAATTTTCCCAGGGGACCTGCCCTTTATTTCATATGATTTGTTTTTTTGTCCCATACAAGGATATATATGGTTTAGGGGCGGGGATCTCAACCATTTACAAGTTCTTAAACAGGAAGAAGGTGGGAATGACCCCAAGGAACTCACCTTTTATTTCATTTCATTTGTTTTATTGTAACATACAAGAATATATATGGTTTCGCCGTGGGGATCTTGACCATTTACAAGTTTTCAAAAAAAGGAGAGTAGGGGTTACCCCAGGGGACTTCCCCTAAATTTAATTTTCTTTAATTTATTGTCCCATACAAGTACATATATGGTTTAGGGGTAGGGATCTCAACCGTTTACAAGTTTTCAAAAGGAGGGGGTAGGGTTTACCCCCGTGGACTTCCCCTATATTTCATTTGATTTGATATATTGTCCCATACAAGAATATGTATGGTTTCTGGGTGGGAATCTTGACCGTTTACAAGTAATCAAAAAAAAGGGGGGTAGGGGTTACCCCAATGGACTTCCCCTATATTTCAATCAGAAAACAGTAAATTTTCAAATAAATCTGTCACTCCAATGATTATCATATGCTAAAATATTTCAAAGATCTAATTAATAATGAAAATAAATCATTATCATATGCTGAAATATTTATAATATCTAATTGAACAGAACTATGGTTGTTTAACATAGTACTCTAACATAATTAATAATGTAATAATCTTCAAAATGTCTAATGATATAGCTTATAATCATTACCACTTAGATAATTTTCAAATAAATCTGTCACTCCAATTTTTATTCTGAGATAAGACAAATCATAAAAAGATAACAACAGTAAAATATTTTAAAATTCTACTTTTGGATATTAAAAATGGCAATAACTCACAAAGGAGATATACTAAAATCTTGAAAATTAATAGAGACCTTCATTAAGTCCCATGAAACAACATAATTAAATTTGAAAAAAATTTGTTTAAGCGTTTTCATGTTATTGTGCGGACTATGTTTGGCAGCCGCCAGAGCCGCCCAGCTGCCCGCCGTATATAACCATTTTTATAACCGATATTTCCTTCGAAAATCCGGTTAAAAATCCTGCTAGGCTAGTGAGCTGTAACAAAAATGTTTAAACCCTGAAACTTGTAGGATGTGGGATGTGGGATATAGGGAGTAAAAAAAAGTAATTTGAGAAAATGAAGGAAAAAAGTCATTGAAAGTTGGTGGGAAAAAATTACAAATAAATGGGGAATGTGTCCATGGGACATACTAATTTGCTTTACACTTATCTAAAATTGTGAAGATTTATATTAATTATTTATCAAGTAAATTATTTCTTAAGCTAGTGCTAAATATCTTTAACTATACTGAAATATAACAATTCTTAGAATTTTACATATTAACTTCAATATTAGAACTAATAATGCTAGCTTCTCAAGAAGCTGCTAGCAGTTGTTCCATGACATAAATATTTTTTACATCTAACTTTAATTTCAGAACTAATTAAAACCTTATTAAAACTTATTAATAATGGCTAATATTTGAAAAACAAAATATACATTTTTCTTGTTAAAAAAATCAAATCAAATTAACTAAGGTCTTTAGTAATGATCCCCTGGGAAATTTGATAACCTAATTGCCATACAAGGGCTCTATCATTGACCCATTGGCAGCTTTAAGTGGCTCCCAAACCCAGGACTTTTATTCCTTGGTAATGGACAAGTTTAAGAAGAAAAATAATTTCTAGGGAAATAAGTTCAAAGTTAGAAAATATGTCTGGCAGGTCTATTAATTCCAAAATAGCCTCTTGAAGTCATAATTATTTGGACTAGCAGTTTGATGTGCAACTGAGCCTCCATTATGCATGCTACTTTGAAAACTTTTGAATTAAAGTTCTGTGATTTTAAAGTAAGACACTAAAGAAACCCTAATGATTTATTTTTTTATAACAGCTAGTAGCATAAAATAATAGGGGGAAATCCAGCATATTTAAAAGTATGTTATGAGCTTCACCCCTTAATCATAACAATATAAAACATAAATAGCTGTATTATAATGCAATGTTCTGTTGTTTCAAAAAAGGTATTTGACACATTTAGCTTCATTATATGTCAGTTAATCAGTTTAGCAAAAGAGTACCTGCATGTCTAACTGGATCAAGAGATGTCTGTGTCTTTTGGAAATTTCCAATGATATACAATGTCAATGGCTTATTTTTAGACACAATTAAGTGTTTCACTTTTGTTTCAAAGAACAAAGGTCAGGTGAGTTAGTTTAATCCAATTGAATATTCTATTTCGAAGAATATATATGAACAACTTCCTCTAAACTTGCTTAAAAAAAGTGACTTTCACATTGATTTTTCACTAATGGTGACGTTCCATACATTAAAAAAATCTGAAAGACTTCCTGAAAATCACTTTCTCTATTTGACCTATATATTAATCTTGAAATGGTCTGTTTGGTAAAATAAATACAATTTTTTTTAATTCTACTGTTTAATTTTAACATCATAACTGAAAAAGTAAAAATAATACAAACTTGATATGAAAGTGACTGCCATGATGCGACTTGCTTTCCAGTTGATCTGAACTTCTGTGTTTCCTACTTTCGTTTTCGTTTCCGATATGCGGAATTACATATTACCACGGCTTCGACTTGCGTTTAGTTTCTTTGTTTACAGGAAGTTGTCTTGTCAGCAATGCTATCCTAAATTGTCATTTTAGACCTCGATTTTATCAGTGTATTGTACTTCCTAATGTAGATTAATATTTCAGGTAAATATATGCAGGTTCAAGTAATGTTTAGTCTTCAAATAGTTCATGACAATTCAGGCAGTGGGAGTTTACACAGGAATTGCCCGTGAGCTTGCAAATAGTATTATAAAATGTGTCCATGTACATGTATGTTAGTGGTTTTGAAGAATTCCCCCCTCCCGCTATTATCAGGGACTGATGAATGATGACAAGAACACTGTTTTCAAGCATTAATTTGTGAACTTGTTTCTAATTTACTCAAAGCAAGCCTAATAAACTAAATAAAGGAATATAGTAGAACAGATTAGAATTTCGCTATAGCACATGTTTCATCAAAATCAATTATGGTCTTAAACAGCTTGTGCAATATAATTGTGTAGCGAATTTGACTACTTTTTCATGTTATCAGATTGTGTAGCGAATTTGACTACTTTTTCATGTTATCAGAAGCAGGTTTTACCTGTGAAAGAGGACAAAGTATTGGTATATAATTTGCACAGTTGTTTTCGCTGCAGGAAATTCAGGAATTCCAGAAAAATCTTTGTCACATGTTGTAAATGTCTTGTGTAACTCTGGTAATTTCAAGTCGTCTGTGGTATTTTCAAGAAAAACATTTTCTATCATCAAGTGGAAGTTGAAAAAATGTGTTAATGTTTTGAGAATTCTTCACAAGTCTTTGAATATAAAGCCAATATCAGAATTAAAAACAGTTGGAAAAGTTGTTTGTCATTCACATGAAAAAGAAAGAGAGCTTGTAAATCACAAGCAGTTAAGAGTTTGTGGAAATTCCTTAAAAGATATTGCAAAAAGAATACAACTTTGAAAGTTAAACATTGTCGTCCTTTCGTGAAATACTGTTTTATTTATTTATCACATTTATGTTTGAAACACATGCAGCAGTATGAAACACCAAATCTGAACAAATAACTGATTATGTTTTGTGGTTAATACATTGTTAGGCAAAGCTCAATCTGCAATTCTCAGGTGAATCCGTTACTCTCCTTTGATAGAGGAATGGAATTGAACAAGTTTACACAAGTAATGCAATGCTAGGAAAAGAAACAAGAAATTAGTAATAAAACATTTAATTTTGATATTTACATGTATCAGTAAATGTTGAATTTTAAATTAAAATTGTATATAAATATTGATTAGGTAAATTATTAGAGTATTTGAAAGAAACAGGTGTGCAATCTACGTACATGTACAGTTTGAAGAACAAACAAGGCGGAACGTAAACAAACACTGAGATATCAAGGTTTTCTCTTATTTTCTGCTTATAATACTCTATAGCTATAAACTGCACCCCTGTCTGGCAATTTTGATTTAGGAGTAAAAGACCGTGGGCAATACACGACCAATTTCGATAATGTATTATTACAATTCAAACTATCTAGAATCTACACTTAAAAGTACATGTATCACTTCATGTTATTATATTTTATTACACTTAAAAAATGCTGACTTAGATTTGGAAGTGAGAAAATTTCTGTCATTTGATGAGGTTCTTATCTTCCTAACTGTAAGGACAGTTCTAACTTGTATTTGCTTAATTTTAGTTATGCTGAATGTAGATGTATTGAGGTGATTGTGTATTTTAAAGTGTACAATGGTGAGTTACAATTCAAGTTGGTAGAACAATGTACCTTTTTGGATTACATACTTTTCCCAAGTCTGGAGCCTGAAGTTCAGTGGTTCTCATTGGTTCATGTCTGTCATATTTGTTTTTCGTAAATTATATTGTTATAAATTAGGTCGTTAGTTTTCTCTATTGAATTGTTTCATATTTTTCATGTCAGGGTCTTTTACAGCCGTCCATATAGTATGGGTTTTTCTCATTGTTGAAGGCGGTATGGTTGCCTAAAATTGCTTACATCCTCTTCATTTGAACTTTGGTGGATAGTTGTCTCATTGGCAATCATACCACATCTCCTTATTTTTATATTATTTTCATGGAGTTAAGGTCCTAACAATTCTTTGTTGGAACATATTTCATGAAAATTGTACTTGTCTGGTCTTATCCTTTGCCTGTCCTTTCACATAAATTGCAAGGAATTTGGTATGCTCAAAATTTAAAATAGCAAAGGCACTTATATATATCTTTAGACATATTAATAATTTTTGTAATATATATTTACAGTATGTAGAAGTTATAGATAGCCATGAATGAATTATTTGCACAAGTTTTACAAAAGAGGGACTTGTCAAAGGCTGGTGAATTGTTTTCACTTGCTGATGATGAAATCAAAGATGACCTCATTCCTGTGTTAGAAGCCATAAGTAAGATTCTGGATTGTACAGACTATCTACAGAATGATAATGATCAAAGTGTTGTGGAAATCTGTATCACCAGAGTCACCACAGCAATCAGGTAGGGCAAATAAAATTGTACATGTACAAATGTAGGATTGCCATTTGAAAAAAATAAATGCAATATATAGGTTTTGATTGACAGTATTTGAACAAGAGTTACTTCCCTCTTGACCATGTTGGAGGTCTATGTGCACAAATTCCTTCATAAATCAGCCATATTAAAATTTTTAAACTAAACATTAGAAAAAGATGTTTTCTGAACAATGATTTCTTTAAGCCTTGCTTTGATTTATCGCCACTATCAGTATGAATCTTTTCTAAGACTTGTTTGTACCGTGTGTTGCAATTTGGTAAGTCAAATAACAAAGTCAACCATTTACCCGCCCAAAATGACGGCCAAGGGGTATAACTCAAACTCAAATTAGGTCATATCAAAACCTATCTATATAGGTATTAGAAGATGTGGTATGAGTGCCAATGAGACAACTCTCCATCCTAGTCACAATTTATAAAAGTAAACCATTATAGGTCAAAGTAGGGTCTTCAACACAGAGCCTTGGATCACACCGCATAGCAAGCTATAAAGGGCCCCAAAAATTACTAGTGTAAAACCATTCAAACGGGAAAACCAACGGTCTAAATTATATAAAAAACGAGAAACACTTATGAACCACATCAACAATCGACAACTACTGAACATCAGATTCCTGACTTACATTGTAGGACAGGTGCAAACAATAGCAGCTGGTTTAAACGTTTTAATGGTACCAAACCTTCACCCTTATCTGAAACAATATATAGGGTATGTTTTACAGTTTATAGCATATTCAACTCCTTCAAGCGTATGTCAAAATAACACCAGTTTTACAGATTTTGTCATCTTTAAAATAGTTTGCACATTGTACATCTTCATTAATTGGTAAAAACAATAACGTATTATAATGAAACATACATCTAATGTAATTATTGTATCTGATTTGTAATGTTATATGCTAAGGTTTCACACCTAGTCCCAGCAGCTTGGAAACTAGCTGCCTATAAACTTTAAGATCCTTAAAAACCAAACTCTGTGTTTTGAGAGCTATACAAACCATTTAAGATTACATTTTTTTGTAGACCTAAGGGAGGGAAAAGTTGGACATAAGTTTTAGCAAAAAATTGTATACATATTATTGTCAGAGATTATTTTGATGTGATAAAATTAAATATAAAAATTTGATCAATGCATGAAAATTTTGTTTTATAGGGAGACAGGTTCCATTGAAGCACATTCCAAGTGTTTGGTATCGCTGCTGGAGGTTTGTCAGAAATATGACCTGAATCCTGCTGCCCCAGAGAAGGACCCGCCCCATGCTAAAATAGCCTCTGATATAATGAGCTGCCTTTTTATGGTAAGTTTTACTCTGCCTCTCTCCGACTTCTCATCTATTGAAAAAGTATCTTATCGGACATATCTGATTCATATCTGTGTTCCCAGGTTAGGGGAAGGTTGGCGCCTTCAAACTAGTTTAACCCCGCCACATTCTGTATGTGCCTGTCCCAAGTCAGGAGCCTGTAAATCAGTGGTTGTCGTTTGTTGTTGTACTACATATTTGTTTTTCGTTCATTATTTTGTACAAAAAACTGTTAGTTTTCTTGTTTGAATTGTTTTACATTTGTCATTTCGGAGCCTTTTATATGCTGACTATGCTATATGGGCTTTGCTCATTGTTGAAGGCTGTACGGTGACCTATAGTTGTAAATTTCTGTGTCATTTGGTCTCTTGTAGAGAGTTGTCTCATTGGCAATCATACAATGTACCACATCTTCTTTTTTATATTGATTGCAGAATGTAAATTGTGTTCACATCAGTGTTTTTGTATGCACTATATCTTACAGCTTATGGTTCCAATTGTATGTTATTGTGGGCAAAATTAAAAAATGTTTTTGTTGGCAATTGTTTAGAAAGCAAACTTATTTTCAATAAAATAATTTATTAATGGAAATTTTATTATAAATTCCTTTCCTCAGGATTCATATTTGACCCCTATTATACCCTCATTCTAGGAGTGGAGGCTATATCACATTAACATTGTTCTTGTGTTCAAAACAAATAATTTCGTCACATTATTCTCAGGTATGATTGAACAGAACCCCCTGATATTTGGTCAGCAGCTTGGCAGTTGAAATGTGTAAGAACTTTTGGGATCTGTCAGACGCCTTCTTCCTTCAACCCAGCTTTAAATTTTTCAATTTATTGAATGAACTTAAAACTTTAAATCACATTTTTCTCAAGCTGCTGTATAGAACAACCTCATATTTAGTCAGCACCTTAGTTGTAAGATGTAAGTGCTTTTTTGGATCTGCCAGACACCTACTTCCTGTTTTCCAATACTTTGAATTAAGAGTGGGGGTATGCTTAGCATGACAACAAATGCATTCTTGTTCTAAATAGCTAGCTCTAAAAGTTTATATGCATCAAGTGTATATTGTTGCCTTCCTAAGCTTTCTAAGTGAACAATGTATACAGAAAGAATACTTGAGAAGGTTGAGTTATACCAACACTAGATTGCTTGTAAAATCACAGAAACAAATTAGTCCTTCATTTTAAATGATTTGAATTTTTGTCAAATTTTTTTACAGCATTACAGCAAACCAAAAGTGATGTCTTTAGCCATTCCAGTTGTTGTGAATTTTCTACGTTGTAATAATAAAGAATTAACAAGAAATGTCTCCAGTTATTTGTCCTTGGCTGCCCTTGACAATGCAGACACTTTAGCAAAATATGTTGATCTGATAATCAGTACAATCCTTAGAGGTAGGTTTTACTTTAATTCCATACTTCCTTTCCTTTGTTCAAATAGCACAGTATTTATTCATGTATGGGTGACTCATGATTAATTCATGTACATGTGCCTCATAATTTATTCATGTACATATGCCTCATGATTTACTCATGTACATGTGACTCATGATTTATTCATGTACATATGACTCATGATTTATTCGTGTACATATGCCTCATGATTTATTCATGTACAAAAGTTATACATTTATACAGGTGACTAACATGCGTACCAATACAACCATTTATAAATGTGGAAATAAAGGTAATAGCTGGCTGGATGAAGAGTCCATTTTAATGTGATATGGTGTTTCTCTGTAAAATCTATCCTTCACTTAGCAGTGGTTGGTCAGATTGATTTATGAACAAGATGTTTTGATTAAAGTCATTTATGATTTTTTATGATTTTTAAAATTTCCAAATAATTTTGTACAAATTAAAGTAAAGGAGTTATTATTTTCCATATGAAAAAAGGACAGTAAGCCAACATTATTTATTGTAAGCAAACTATTTTTAAATGGAAATCTCTTAGAACTTTACCATTTTACTTAATATATCATTTGAGAAAGACTAGGTAGATGCATAGAAAATCTGTATCCAAAATAATTTTTTCAGGCAATTACTTTTTGAGTACAGTGTTACCTCAGATTTACTCGCAGAACAAACAACCAATCATAAATAGTATTGACAAGCTTACCGATATCATTAATGTATGTGACGTGTCTGAACGGGCAAGTCTGTTCCAAGTGTTTGGAATGATATCTAAACACGATCCAAACGTAAGTTACTTTACTGGTAATCCATAAGAAGTTTTTCATACGTTAACCCAAATAATTCAATCTTCAAATTCTGCTGCTTAACAATGCCTATATTAATGCCTGAAAGCATAGTCAATGAGAAATCTTCAATTAATCTTTCAGAATTTTATCGTATAAAGAATTCAGGACCTCGTGTTAGTCATACTTTTGTTTACTGAATACCAGATAATGTTATGAGTCGGTCATAGTGGAAGTTGACAATGACCTACATATAACAATCATGACCTCACTAAATGAATTATAGCTAATTAACAGAAAAATGTTAATAAAATGTGACACTAAATTCCATCAATAGTGAATACATTTAAACATGAAGAATGTGCATAACCAATCTAGAAGTGTTTGATAAATTAAGGATGTTCGCTCCTCTTGTTTTTGAAATTTTGCCAGATTTTCGGAATCCTCTGGTTTTATCCATGTTTTGCCATTAAATAATTTTGTCCACTAACCCCTACTTTTCTTTTCATAATTTTATTGCATATAGTTTTAAAAGCCATATTTGAAAATCTTATAAAATACTTATTATTTTTTCATAGTATTTAAAAGAGAAAAGCGGAAAATGTTAAAAGTATGAAAAATTTAAAGAGAATCATTTCTCGCCAAATTTTCAATGGCTTATATCTCAAAAGCAAGCACACAGACCCTTCATTTTTTTATGCTTTTTTGGTTTCCTTTATTTATATACTATAAATTTAGAACAGTCTTTTAAAAAGCTTGTTATTTTAAAAAAGAGTTGCGAACATCCTTAGATAAACAAACAAGAAGAATATACTTGTAGATTGTGGCACTAAACTCCATCAAATAAATAATCAGATAGAACTAAAATGTAATAGAAAATGATGTTAGACCAAATGAATTGAACAAGCAAACATAAATCATCAGGGCTGTTCCAGATTTAAACGCATGGGGGATCGGAGGCACTTTTTAGACTCCAAACACCCTTGAGGATGTAGGTTAAGGAATTTTTATACGACCGCAAAAAAATTTTTGTGGTCGTATATTGGTATGACGTTGGCGTAGTCGTCGTCCGGCATCGTCGTCCGAAGACGCATTAGTTTTCGCACTCTAACTTTAGTTTAAGTGAATGGATCTCTATGAAATTTTACCATAAGGTTCAATACCACAAAAGGAAGGTGGGGATTGATTTTGGGGGTTATGGTACCAACAGTTAAGGAATTAGGGGCCAAAAAGGGGCCAAAAATAAGCATTTTCTAGTTTCCAGACAATAACTGTGGAACGGTGTATGGATCTCTCTGAAATTATACTACAAGTTTCCATACCACAAAAGGATGGTTAGGATTTGCTTTGGGGGGTTATTGCTCAAACCGTTTAAGAATTAGGGGCAAAAAAGGGGAAAAAAAAAGGTTGTCCTCATTAATGGACAAATACTTTAGTACAAAACATAATTTAAAGCAGTGTAAGGGAGATAAATCAAATACATCATTGAAATTATCTCCCTTACACTGCTTTTAAATTATGTATAAAGTAATGGTTAATAAACAATTAAGATAATTTAAAACAGTGTAAGGGAGGTAATCCAAATACAACGTTTTGGTTACTTCCCTTACACTGCTTTTAAATTATGTTTAAAGAAATGCATATTTACAAAGGAAGACCAGAATGGCGCATTAGTAAAATCTTTGACCACATTTATTTATTTGTTATGCCGAATCTAACTGTGTATTTAGATTTTTAATTTCGGGTCCAGTTTTCAAATTGGTCTACATTAAGGTCCAAAGGGTCCAAAATTAAACTTTGTTTGATTTTAACAAAAATTGAATATACGGGGTTCTTTGATATGCTGAATCTAAACATGTATTTAGATTTTTGATTTCTGGCCCAGTTTTCAAGTTGGTCCAAATTGGGGTCCAAAATTAAACTTTGTTTGATTTCAACAAAAATTGTATATATGGGGTTCTTTGATATGCTGAATCTAACCATGTATTGAGATTTTTTATTTGTGGACCCCGCTGTCAAATTGGTTCATATTGAGGTCAAAAGGGTCCAAAATTAAACTTTGTTTGATTTCATCAAAAATTGAATTATTGGGGTTCTTTGATATGCCAAATCTAACCGTGTATTTAGATTTTTAATTTTGGGTCCCGTTTTTTAAATTGGTCTACATTAAGGTCCAAAGGGTCCAAAATTAAACTTAGTTTGATTTTAACAAAAGTTGAATTTTTGGGGTTCTTTGATATGCTGAATCTAAACATGTGTTTAGATTTTTGATTATGGGCCCAGTTTTCAAGTTGGTCCAAGTTGGGGTCCAAAATTAAACTTTGTTTGATTTCAACAAAAATTGAATATATGGGGTTCTTTGATATGCTGAATCTAAACATGTATCAAAATTTTAGATTTTTGGCCCAGTTTTCAAGTTGGTCCAAATTGGGGTCCAAAATTAAACTTTGTTTGATTTCAACAAAAATTGAATATATGGGGTTCTTTGATATGCTGAATCTTACCATGTATTTAGATTTTTTATTTGTGGGCCCGCTATCAAATTGGTTCATATTGAGGTCAAAAGGGTCCAAAATTAAACTTTGTTTGATTTCATCAAAAATTGAATTATTGGGGTTCTTTGATATGCCAAATCTAACCCTGTTTTTAGATTTTTAATTTTGGGTCCCGTTTTCAAGTTTGTCCAAGTTGGGGTCCAAAATTAAACTTTGTTTGATTTCAACAAAAATTGAATATATGGGGTTCTTTGATATGCTGAATCTAACCATGTATTTTGATTTTGGACATTGGACCATAATAGGTAAATTAAAAAAATTGAAGTTCTTAGACCACATTTTTTCTGTGTCAGAAACCTATGCTGTGTCAAATATTTAATCACAATCCAAATTCAGAGCTGTATCAAGCTTGAATGTTGTGTCCATACTTGCCCCAACTGTTCAGGGTTTGACCTCTGCGGTCGTATCAAGCTGCGCCCAGCGAAGCATTTTATTGTCAGATGTTCGGACTCCTTGGGTTTTTGCCTAACATACAGGGTAAAATATTTTCCCCTATATCACCCACTTTTCTTTTAATAGAAGACTTCAATAGCTCATAAAAAGGTCATTACCAAAATTTAAGCAGATTCTATATTTTTTTCTTACGATTTGAGACTCAAATAATGCCAATGTTAAATATAAGGTAAAAGTCTGAGTCAGCCTTTTCTCCCATTTGAAAAAAAATCAAATATCTTTAAAAGGGGTTCGATAACCTATCAATATTTTTAGCTTATTTTGTTCCTTAACTTATGCTCTTCTGACTTGTAGTATCAATTTTAAATTCTGGATTTTTTAAATCCTTAATATAGAATTTTCATATTACTTATAATTCTTATAAAATTCTAAAGAAAATGCAACCATCCATAATTTATTAATTTGAGTGCCTCCCATTTCTCCCATGGGTTTAGATCTGGAACAGCCCTCAGCAGAAAAAATATTAAAATCACATCAAACTAATCGAATAAACTTTTAAAATTACTTTGTCAATTTTTCCTTGTCTCTAGCATTTACAAAATTATATCGGTGCCTGTATTAATTTTGAGTTAAAGGAAATGTGGGGTAAACATCAACAAGACAGCAACCCAACAACAAAAACAAAAAAAGACTTTAAGAGGGCAACGTACAGTCTTTATCAATATAGACAGGTGTCTATATAATATGTCAAGCTCTTAATTGTACTGAGTCTATATAAGTTGTGAATAAATTTAACAGAAACAGGCAAAGATCACCCACAAAAATACCAAGTTCTCCAAATAACGTAATCATTTAAGGTATGACATACATTGTGCAACAACTACTAATGAGGTTCCTGATTTGGAGCAGGCACATGAAATAGTGGCAGGTTTAAACTAGTTCTTTGTAATCTTTATTCACCCCCTTTTTCAATCTCAATCAGTAGATTAACAGAATATAGATGAAAGAACATTAGATAAAAACCAGCACAGTAAAAGCACTTAAATCTAAAAAGATGGTATAATAGATAACACAAAATAAATAACAAATTGTATTGGGTTTAATCTATAATATAAAATAAAGTTTTTAAGCCAAGAAATATTGTTATGGATTTTTTACTACATTTTATTTTCTTTCATGGAAGCTAGTGTCCATGAAGTAAATCTTAAATTTGGCTTTGAATAATATCTTTTTCCAATAATCTTTTTGATTTTCATATTTCAGTTGTGGGAAGAAATCACTTGGAACAAAACAACAATTTTGTCTATAATTTTTTTTTTAAGTAATAAGGTTTTATACTGTATAATTATGTAATCACTTTTTTTATGAAAGCTTGTTTTTTTTTACAGATTTTAGAACCACACATAGATGAATTCTGCAAATATCTGTCCTCAAGTACTTTGGCAGCTTTGGTTCTCATGATGTTTGTTGACATGGCAACAGCCAATCCTAAAGCATTTGTGGATTATCTCCCTTCATTGAAGGATTTAGCAGAACAACAGCCAATGTATTTTATACAAGTTATACAAATTATTGGTGCAATAGGCAATATAGATCAGGTTTGTAGCTTATGAGAGTTTAATGGACTTGTTTCAAAACAATATATAAAAAAATGCAAGGATATATACATTTTAATGGTTGATGGTTGGAATATGTGTCATCTTTTTTCTATGAATCATCCATTGTAATAGTTTAGTACAATTTTTTTAAAAAGTGCATCATTATGTACAAATGTGAAAATTCTAAGCAAGACAGAGCTTACATTGTAAAAAAAGGAAATAAAAAGTGATTAAAAAAAAACATAATGCATATGATCAATAAAATGAAGAAAATAAGATAAAAAAAGACAATTTTCAAAATGACTTTTATCTTTCACTTTCATTGTAACCTTAACAGTACTTCAGTACTGGCATGAAAATACGGATATGGTTTGATGTAAATTTGCTGTTATAAAATTTTTGAAATCATTTTGAATTAAGATATATATTTTCCTTGGGGAAAGCTCTAATTCCGTGTCCAGATTTTGCTATCCTTCATGTCCTTTTTTGGTTTGATCAGCTCTTCAACATTTATATAAGTTTGGGTTTTTATACGACCGCAAAAAAATTTTTGTGGTCGTATATTGGTATGACGTCGTCGTCCGGCGTCGTCCGGCGTCGTCCGAAGACACATTGGTTTTCGCACTTTAACTTTAGTTTAAGTGAATGGATCTTTAGGAAATTTTACCACAAGGTTCAATACCACAAAAGGAAGGTTGGGATTGATTTTGGGGGTTATGGTAATAACAGTAAAGGAATTAGGGGCCAAAAAGGGGCCAAAAATAAGCATTTTTGTAACTTCCAGACATAACTTGTGTGTTAGTGTATGGATCTCTCTGACATTGTACCACAAGGTTCCATATCACTAAAGGAATGCTGGGATTGATTTTGGGGGTAATTGCCTCCAAATTTTAGGAATTAGGGGCCAAAAAAGGGGCAAAAAACAAGCATTTTTCTAGTTTCATGACAATAACTTGTGTGTAAGTGTATGGATCTTTCTGAAATTGTACTACAAGGTTCCATATCACAAAGGGAAAGCTGGGTTTGAGTTTGGGGGTAATTGCCCTAAACGTTTAGGAATTTGGGGCCAAAAAGGGGCCAAAAAACACATTTTTTTCTAGTTTCCAGACAATAACTTGTGTTCAAGTGTATGGATCTCTCTGAAATTGTACTGCAAGGTACCATACCACAAAGGGAAGGCTGGGATTGAGTTTGGGGGTGATGAATCATAATGGGGGTTCAAAAAATTTTGGGGGGGGGATTTATTTTTTTTTCCTTTTTTTTCTTTTTTTCCTTTTTTGTTTCTTTTAAAATTTTCCATTTTAAGTTGGTTATTTCTGATTTATATTTAAAATCAAATAATAATGATATGGTAGGAGATACACACCAAACAGGATGTGTAAATTATTATATAATAAGTATTGTGCAATAGCAAGAAATTTTCAATTGCACAGTATTGCACAATAGCAAGAAATCTTCAATTGCACAGTATTGCGCAATAGCAAGAAATCTTCAATTGCACAGTATTGCGCAATAGCAAGAAATATCCAATAGCACAATATTGCGCAATAGCAAGAAATTGTCAATTGTACAGTATTGCGCAATAGCAAGAAATATTTAATAGCACAGGATTGTGCAAAAGAAGATACTTCCTATAAATTGCTTATTTCTTGACCAATTTCAATAGGGTTTTATTCTTGATTTCATGGGGTTCTTTAATATGCTGAATCTAACCGTGTATTTAGTTTTTGGATTTTGGGCCCCGTTTTTAAATTGGTCCACATTGAGGTCCAAAGGGTCCAAAATTAAACTTTGTTTGATTTCATCAAAAATTGAATTATTGGGGTTCTTTGATATGCCGAATCTAACTGTGTATTTAGATTCTTAAATTTTGGTTCCGTTTTCAAATTGGTCTACATTAAGGTCCAAAGGGTCCAAAATTAAACTTAGTTTGATTTTAACAAAAATTGAATTCTTAGGGTTCTTTGATATGCTGAATCTAAACATGTATTTAGATTTTTGATTATGGGCCCAGTTTTCAAGTTGGTCCAAATCGAGGTCCAAAATTAAACTTTGTTTGATTTCAACAAAAATTGAATATATGGGGTTCTTTGATATGCTGAATCTAACCATGTATTTAGATTTTTGATTTTTGGGCCCCGTTATCAACTTTGTCCACATTGAGGTCAAAAGGGTCCAAAATTAAACTTTGTTTGATTTCATCAAAAATTGAATTATTGGGGTTCTTTGATATGCCGAATCTAACCGTGTATTTAGATTCTTAATTTTTGGTTCCGTTTTCAAATTGGTCTACATTAAGGTCCAAAGGGTCCAAAATTAAACTTAGTTTGATTTTAACAAAAATTGAATTCTTAGGGTTCTTTGATATGCTGAATCTAAACATGTATTTAGATTTTTGATTATGGGCCCAGTTTTCAAGTTGGTCCAAATCGAGGTCCAAAATTAAACTTTGTTTGATTTCAACAAAAATTGAATATATGGGGTTCTTTGATATGCTGAATCTAACCATGTATTTAGATTTTTGATTTTTGGGCCCCGTTATCAACTTTGTCCACATTGAGGTCAAAAGGGTCCAAAATTAAACTTTGTTTGATTTCATCAAAAATTGAATTATTGGGGTTCTTTGATATGCCGAATCTAACCGTGTATTTAGATTCTTAATTTTTGGTTCCGTTTTCAAATTGGTCTACATTAAGGTCCAAAGGGTCCAAAATTAAACTTAGTTTGATTTTAACAAAAATTGAATTCTTAGGGTTCTTTGATATGCTGAATCTAAACATGTATTTAGATTTTTGATTATGGGCCCAGTTTTCAAGTTGGTCCAAATCGAGGTCCAAAATTAAACTTTGTTTGATTTCAACAAAAATTGAATATATGGGGTTCTTTGATATGCTGAATCTAACCATGTATTTAGATTTTTGATTTTTGGGCCCCGTTATCAACTTTGTCCACATTGAGGTCAAAAGGGTCCAAAATTAAACTTTGTTTGATTTCATCAAAAATTGAATTATTGGGGTTCTTTGATATGCCGAATCTAACCGTGTATTTAGATTCTTAATTTTTGGTTCCGTTTTCAAATTGGTCTACATTAAGGTCCAAAAGGTCCAAAATTAAACTTAGTTTGATTTTAACAAAAATTGAAATCTTAGGGTTCTTTGATATGCTGAATCTAAACATGTATTTAGATTTTTGATTATGGGCCCAGTTTTCAAGTTGGTCCAAATCGGGGTCCAAAATTAAACTTTGTTTGATTTCAACAAAAATTGAATATATGGGGTTCTTTGATATGCTGAATCTAACCATGTATTTAGATTATTGATTTTTGGGCCCCGTTATCAACTTTGTCCACATTGAGGTCAAAAGGGTTCAAAATTAAACTTTGTTTGATTTCATCAAAAATTGAATTCTTGGGGTTCTTTGATATGCTGAATCTAACCATGTATTTAGATTTTGGATATTGGACCATAATAGGTGAATGTCCAATTTAAATTTTTTAAGTTCTTAGACCACATTCAATCTGTGTTAGAAACCTATGCTGTGTCAAATATTTAATCACAATCCAAATCCAAAGCTGTATCAAGCTTGAATGTTGTGTCCATACTTCCCCCAACTGTTCAGGGTTCGACCTCTGCGGTCGTATCAAGCTGCGCCCTGCGGAGCATTTTATTCCAATATTTCAGACTCAGGCATCACTTAAGAGACATTTCTCATCGAAATGTACATATGTTGCAGTAAAATTGGTAGCATTAATGTTATAACCAATATAAAATTATAGATTTCATATTATGTATTTCTTTTCAGGAAAATGCTAGAAGAAGTATGGTTTACTTTGTATCATGCTTAGGCATGAAGGACCAAACTGCCCTAGCGGTCATTTTACAAGAAATTAAAGCACTGAGTATCAACAATCACTCGTTACTGGAAGAAAACATTATAGAAATTAGTAAACTATCTCAGAGTGGATCTAGTGCTGTGAGACTGCTGGTTCAACAATTAAAAGACGACCTGAAAAAATAGTAAGAGACTGTTGTTCAAACTATATTCACAAGAAAATAAGATGTATTAGAGTTCCATCAATTAGGTGTTCCTTTTGAAATATTTTGCAATGTTTTATAGATTAGTTGTTGGGAGGAGGGTATTCATGTACATGTAGGTTTGATTTCACAATTTTGATTTATTGTTAATTGTTTGGCACTGGATTAAGAATATATAAGATATCGTCAAAATTATGCATTTTTTTCACTATTTTCACTGAGTGCTATTTTGATATAATTTAATTTTGGATGAAGCATGCTTCTGATTGGCTGAAAGTTTTTTGTCTATCAGCTCATAGACATGATTTTGTCGTGTGACCATGGCATCATCAACGTTTTTTCATGATTTACTCCTTAAAAATGGAATTTAGAATTTAATTATAGGGAACGACTGTAAAAAAAATTCTGTCGATTCTCAAAAATTTGGTGCACACTTTTAAATAACCCACTGTTCTGGTTATTCAGTGTGCACCACTTTTTCATGTTATTTCTTTACAGACAGAAAAAATATACTTATTCCTTAAAGAGAGAAAAAAAATCCATGAATAGTTTAAAACATTGTAAAGACACTTGTCTATTGTTGAGGTATTTATGTTTCCTTTGTTTTGGGTTCAAATAGTTGAAGTTTCAATGATAATATACTACGAAATTATTGTTTTCATTAGTGCAAATAATTTGTCTTGGTGAGTATTTCAATTATAAGAACTTGCATTATGATATCTAATACATATATTTATATGCAGCTTTTACTGAAATTGCAATAATTTATCTTATATTTTTGTCAATTCTTTAACAATGGCAATAATAAATGTACACAATAATTTCTTAATTTATAGAACGTAATTATGCAAAATGTTAACAGCACGATAAAAAATCATCACATTACAAAACATAATGCCACACTCTAATTTTGAAAAAAAGAAAAAAGAAGCGGTTTCCATTTTTTTCCCTTTCTGTTTAAGACATTTGTTTTTTAAAGACTGGTTGAAATGTATTACATGTTTTCACGGAACAGTCTCTTTTTGGGGGGAAACAAATGGAGCTGTAGCAGTATTAAAAGACATAAAATATATTGATAAATTTTGATACATTTACAATATTTTACTATTTTTTTAATTTATATTGTAATCAATTTAATATTTATTGTTTATGCTTTTTTTAAATTTTTATAGTATTTACTAGTCTTTTTTATGTGTTTTTTTTTGTCTCGCCTGCGACAATAGTCGCAGAAAGCGAGACATAGGGATTGCTTTTGCGACGGCGTCAACAATTGTTAAGTTTTCTGCTTAAGTTACTTTGATAGAAACTACTTGTCATAGTCATTGATATTTGATATCAAGTTGTATAACAATCAGTACATATCAGTTTGACGACTATTCAGAGGCCCTGCCCCCTAGGACATGGTCCAGTGACTTTGAATTAATTAGCAAATTTCAATGTTAATTTTTCTGTTTAAGTTAGTTTGATAGGATCTACTTCTACTTGTGATAGATCATTGATATTTTGTATGAAGCCGCATTATTATCAGTACATATCATTTTGACAACTATTTTGAGGCCCTGCCCTCTAGGACATGGTCCAGTAACTTTAAATTAATTAGCATTTTTTCAATGTTAAGTTTACTGCTTAAGTTAGTTTGATAGGATCTACTTGTGATAGTTCAATGCATTTTGTATGAAGTTGCATTACTACAGTACATATCAGTTTGACGACTATACTGAGGCCCTGCCCCCTAGGACATGGTCCAGTTACTTTGAATTAATTAGCAATTTTCAATGTTAACTTTTCTGCTTAAGTTAATTTGATAGGATCTACTTTTACTTGTGATAGATCATTGATATTTTGTATGAAGTCGCACTACTCAGTACATATCAGTTTGACGAATATTTTGAGGCCCTGCCCTCTAGGACATGGTCCAATGACTTTGAATTAATTAGCAATTTTCAATGTTAAGTTTTCTGCTTAAGTTAGTTTGATAGGATCTACTTGTGATAGATCAATGATATTTTGTATAACGTTGCATTACTATCAGTTTGACAACTATTTTGAGGCCCTGCCCTCTAGGACATGGTCCATTGACTGAATTAATAAGCGATGTTGCTTTTCGTCAGATTGTCTTGATCTGAATTTTAGGCTGACAGGCGAGACATATCTCTGTGTCAACAGTTTATTATTACATTATAATAGCTATAGGGGTAGAAATTCATTGCATACATATTTTTAACTGTATTCAATGACAGTTTAGATAGTGTCTTAATCTGAAGGATGTTTGTGATAGTACATGTACAAATTAAAAATAAGAGAAAAATAATTATGAACTGTATTGAATAGTGGGTTAATCTGAAGACTGTTTGTGATCATGTTGATTAAAACTAACTGATTTAAGGAGAAGTAAAATATTTATGAACAGTTGTGAATAACAGTTTAAATAGTGATTAAATCTGAAAGATCTGTAGTATTCACATTTTTAACTTATATTTTAAAACTAATTATTTTTCTTTGGCAGTGCATAAACAAAACTTTTCCCCAACAACACAACTATATTTTTATGTAAATTAAAAAAAACCAGACATTTTGAATACACTTTTCACAAAATATTTCAAATTCTTGTTATTGCTAGTACATGTTTCTTCTAGTACAATTAAAACAATTAATTTCAAATTTTACGAAAAATGCAGAAACATCCTTTTTGCAGGAAAATTCTAGTTTTAAATACTTCTATGTCAAAAACAAGCACACTGTCTAATATATATTTCCCATTAATTTACATTTTATGCACTTTCTAATGAAATATGCATCATTTATGTAATTGCTTTTTTGAATTATAGCAGCAGAAATCTTTAATTTAATTTATGTTGTTTTATTAGGAAGAAAAGTGTGATAATGTGTTTTGTTTGTTGAAAAGGTTGATTTGGTTAATTTTTATTATTTGTAATAACTAAGCATTCTTTTTATATTTTGATTTATTTTTTTCTAAATAAAAGACAATAATTTAATTCAAAGAGTTTATTTATATTTACTTAAAATGTTTTATACATACACTGCATTATAGGATTTGCCAAATGACCAAATCCTTTCTAGTATATGCAGTGAGATTTATTACACTTTTCTTCTCTTTTGCTTGCATTATACACATACTACACAATTATTTATGATCAGACTTTCTTCTGCAGCCACATATTTAGAGAGGTCATCTCCAACATGTTAATAAGATGATGTTAAATTTAAAGAGTGGGTAAAGCGCCGTGTGTTGAAATTTTTCAAGTATCAATATCATAGTAATGAGTAAAGAAAGATACACAGCTACCAAAATAATTGTCTGTATATTTACCTATAAAATGACACTTACCCATTCAACACACTGTCTTGCTCCATTCTGAGTACATGAGATTCCTCAGGTGTCTACAAAAGTCGCAGAATGCAAGACATAAGGATTACTATCGGTGGCGGCATAAACTTTTTGTATAAAGCTTTAAATTTCAAGAAGTAAGAGACCTGGATTTCAAAACTTGTATACAGATGGGTTACATTAACAAGTTTTAGACATTGACCTCATTTCATGGATCAGTGATGAGGTTAAGTTTTTATGGTCAAGTCTATATCTCATATGCAATAAGCCTTAGGTCTACTATATTTGGTGTACATAAAGATTGTAAGATGTACATGTCTGTTTGGAAGGTTTCATTTAACCTTGACCTCATTTTCATGTATCATTGGTTAATGTTATGTTTTCATGGTTAATTTTGTGTCTCAGATACTATTTGCAATAGGTTAACTATATTTGGTGTTTGGAATGATTGGAAGGTGAACATGTCTGTCTGGCAGAGATCATCAGACCTTGACCTCATTTTCATGGTTAATTGGTCAAAGTTTAGTTTTCTTGGTTAGGTCTGTTTCTCAGATACTAAAGGTAACATGTTCGTCTGACGGTGTTAATCTGACCTCTACTTCATGTTTGTCATGGATAAATAAACCATAACCCTTCTTTTTTAATTAAATACATATAAGGTTACAAAATATATTCTCTCCCTTAGCTCATCTCCTCCACAAGAGAAGGAAACCAGATCAGTATCCAGTCAAACAGAAGGTCAGGTGACTGTGATTACTGTTGGTAATCCCCACAATGCAGCATATCCTAGTGGTGCAGTATCTGTCAGACATACGGCTATGTCACAAAGTACAATCTCAAGTCAACAGAGCATTCCTAAATCTCTCAGGTATTTATTTATTTATTTATTTATTTACCATCTAAAAATGATTTAATGGCACTTGTATTTGACATTGTCTTAGAAATAAAGACTATATAATTTTGTTTTCTCATGGAAATTAAATGGCTGAAACAGCCTTTTTCTTGTTATCTTTGCAGTCAGTGGTGTAGTTTTCAGAGTTCTCTATTCCTGTAGTACATTTTTTTATCAACTTATAATCCTTTTAATCCATGATATTTTACACTACAAAACTATTGAAGCATGGCTTGAAAGATTCATGCAAAATTCTAGAAATAGCAATCCAACAACTTAATGTTTGGTTTACATCAATGAGAAATCAGCTCCTTTATTGACATATTATATGTTATTCATGTATAATTCAATGCAGTGTAATTTATCTTTTTATTTTACAGAAATAGTAGCTCTAATACCAGACATGAGAGACCAGTGAGTCCGGCATCAACAATTTTGTCAGACAGACTGTCACTTGGGAGCCTTCTGACTGTTGGTAGTACACAGACTGGGCCTCCTTTGCTAGTAAGTATTGTGGCTGTAGGTATTAAAAAGACTTGGCCTCCTCTCCCAGTAAGTGGTTTGGCTGTTGGTAAAGAAAAAAGGTTTTGATATTCAGTGAGTTTCATCTGCTGTTAAGTATTGAATTGGATTCTAGAGCCTACTTATTATTTGAAACAAAGAGATCTGCCATCTTTCCCAATAAATGGGTAATTTACCCATCAAGATTTGTTGAGTGTTGACCTGACTCTTGAAAACCTCAGAACAGGCACTCAAAGGAGTTAAAATAACAAAGAATAAATGGGGAATGTGTCCATGGGACACAGATGATGCCCCCACTTGCATATCATATAAAGTTATAAAGGTACATAACTGAAGATCGGTAAAAGTGACACTACCCAAATTTGTACTTGCTCTGAGTTTTGTGGTAATAAGTATTGTATATAAGTTTCATAACATTTGGTTGAGGCAAACTAAAGTAAGAGAACGGACACCAACTTTGGGATGTACAGGCGGACAAGGGTAAAACTTAATGCCCCCTCCGCTACGGCGGGGGCATAATTACATATTTACTCATTCAAAACCATAGTTTATTTTATTAAAAACACTAGTGACATGAGTGAGAGAGAGATGCATTAGGTCCATTTATGCTTAAAACATCCCATGGAGATGTTGAGAAGTTGAAAGGTATAAAAGAATCATACTAAGGGTGGAGTGTTTATTACACAGATTCATACTCTCAAAGTGTTGGTTTGTACACTAAACCATTGTTTAAACTTTGTTTCAGGCTGAGCCAATCAGAGATGGGATACAACATTTCTGTGAGAAACACATGACATCCATTAGGAATTTCATCTGTCAGTTTTCTGCCAGGATTCCTATACCAGCCAAGTGTGGGATTATAAGTATGTGTCATTGATTTGTATACTGTACTCATTAATTTTCATTGAAACCTTAATTATACCCTCTTTTTAGGATGCAGTCATATTTTGTCTGGTGAGTCTTACAATGAAATAAAATTACCGTTACTTCCTGTTTGACAAAAGTTTGAAATTTTACTTTAACCACTGAACATGAATTTTTTTAAATTGTTCTTAGCCTATATGAATAAGGATATATTTCCGTCTGTCTATGATTTTCGTAGAGAAATATTAGACTAAAGATATTATTTTCACCAAAATAACCAATATGTGTATTGAAGATGATTATCATATAAGAATAATGAGATGTTGTATTGTATGGCTGCCTATTAGACAACTATCCAACAAAGACTAGTAATGAAAAGGATGTACCTAAGATAAACAACTACAGGTCACTGTATGACCTTCAACAATGAGCAAAAACCATATAGCTATCAAATGTCCCAGATAACAAATTGTGAAACAATCCAACAGATTAAACTAATGGCCTGATTTATGCTAATACATGTAAAATAAAACAAATAATTATAACAATTATGACAGATGCTAACCAGGGCTTCCAAAATTATTTTTAGCCAGCCGGACATTTTATATATTATCCCGATTTTAATCCCTTAAGACTAAATAAACAAAAGGCAATTATGGTAATCAGTTGCCAAATTGGCCATCCCAATGATTGACATTAAAAAAAACGATATTAAACTTTCTTTGATTCAAATTCGAAGTTCTGACGTAAACTGTTAAATTGGCAGTGCATCATTCGAAGTGTGCAACATCAGCATACTTATATCTGCCTTAGACTCTTTATTTGTGCAAAATATTGTCAAAAATTTTACTTTCGTTTTTATACCGGATGTTATCTTGACAATGGTAAAACATGGACCAGAGACGGATACGTAAATTCTGTGTACGTTTGCAAAGCGTGAATGAGTGGAAGTAGCTCTTTCTACGTTATATCTTCAAGAAAATATTTGAAATAAACGTGAGATAAAGGTATCAATGACAATTTAAGCATTTTTTGAAGAAATTAGGATGCATTATTAAATTTCACACCTGCGCACATGCGCACACGTGTACTAGTTCAAACAACGGTTATGACGATTTTTCATTTTCACCTTTTTTAATTTTTTTATCAAATCTTATTTGTAAACGTATTTCTAATAATTTAAATCTTTTTGACTAAATTAATTAGATGCAAACTGCTGAAATGTAAGAAAATAACTTTGAATAGACCGATCAATGTCCGGTTCAAAATTGTTTACCTGTCACCTGAACAGGTAAATTTCAGCTGTTTGACAACTAATTAGCCTTGATTAAAATGAGAAGGTATTAAAGTAGGGGTTGTTTTGATAGTACTTAATGATCATGTCACTTTTATGACCGGAAATGTGTGGCTGTTAAAGCCAAAACGTTGGGTCAAAAAGATCGCGAATTATGTTAAAATGACCGTCTCTTAAAGCCTTGAAAACTAAAAAGTAGATGACCGTTTCATGCTTTGCTCAGCCGGACTTTTACCGGACATTATACAAATGTCCGGCATATATGACCGTTTTGGAAGCCTTGATGCTAACATCATATGTTCATATTACTCCTAATGGAAGAGGGTGTAGATGGGGGTTTACAGAATAGAAAATAATGGGCAAAAAACATACAGAATAAAGAAAAATGGCCAAAAAAATCAAGAATAGAGAATAATGGGCAAAAAGTATAAAGAATAGAGAAAAATTACCTAAAAAATTAAAGAATACAGAAATGAAGGACCCCCATCCAGACCCTCATGGAATATAAGTGACTATGTTTCTCTTATTTTAATATCTTGCAAATCAAAACAATATTTTTGTTTTGTAGATGGGAGACACAGGCAGTATATCCGTTTATTTTTCCTGTGTGGAGATCAGAAAGAAAGATGTATATATGGCAACAGTTATTTTACTTTGGATACCAAAGTTCCTAAAACTTGGATTCATCTCATGTTTTTAGCAATACAGGTAAAATGTATTTTCTTAATCTTAGCCAATTTATACTTTAGCAAAGGCCAGGTGAGCTTTTCTCATCACTTGGCAACTGTTGTCCGTTGTCGTTGTCCATTGTTAACTTTTACAAAAATCTTCTCCTCTAAAACTACTGGACTAATTTAACCAAACTTGGCCACAATCATCATTAGGGTATCTAGTTTAAAGAAATTTGTCTGATGACCCCGCCTGCCTACCAACATGGCAAAAAAATAGAACATAGGGTAAAATGCAAGTTTTGTCTATTATCTTGAAAACCACTATGAATAGAGAAAATCTAACAGGGTCAAAAATTTTCAGAATGATGAGATCTACATATTGACTATTTACTTCAAACTGTCAAAAGACTTCTTATATGAGTTATTGACCTTAAATGACAAATTTTACTGATTTTTGTCTTGCCTTGACGGAGTCAAAGAGCGAGCCTTAGATATGCTGTTTCCAGAGGCGGCGGCGTCAACAATGTATTAGTTTGTGATTAGGTCTAGTTTATGGTGAACCACTAGTGATAGGTCAATGATATTTGGTATGCAGTTGTATTAGCATTAACACATTTCCATGGAGATTATTTGGCCCTGCCCCCTCAGTCCTGGTCTATTGACTTTGAAAATTTTGCTTAGTTTTCATGTATTAGTTTGTGATTAGGTCAGTTTATGGGGAACCACTAGTGGTAGGTCAACAATATTTGTTATGCAGTTGTATAAGCATTGGCATATCTCATTTCCATGGAGATTATTTGGCTCTGCCCCCTTAGTCATGGTCTATTGACTTTGAAAATTTTGCTTAGTTTACATGTATTAGTTTGTGATTAGGTCAGTTCAAGGGGAACCATTAGTGGTAGGCCAATGTTAATTGGTATTCAGTTGTATAAGCATTAGCACATCTCATTTCCATGGAGAATATTTGCCCCCCCCCCCCCCCCCCCCCCCCCCCCTCAGTCATGGTCTATTGACTCTGAAACTTTTGCTTAGTTTACATGTATTAGTTTGTTATTAGATCAGTTTAGATGAACTGCTAATGTTAAGTCAATGATATTTAATTTATATGCAAATTTATTGGCATTTGCAAGTATCGTTTCCATGGATATTTTATAGCCCCACCCCCTCATCATGGTTCATTGACTTTGAAACTTTTACATAGTTTACAAGTTAATGTTTGTGGTTATGTTTAGTATAAAAAAGAAGATGTGGTATGATTGCCAATGAGACAACTCTCCACAAGAGACCAAATGACCAGGTTGTTTAAAGGGAACGACTTATAATAAGTCAATGGTATTTGGTATGCAGTTGTACTAGCATTGGCACATCTTATTTTCATGGATATTTTTTAGCCATGTACCTTCAGTCATGGTTCATCGACTTTGAATATTTGCATAACTTACATGTTAAAGTATTGCTATTTTAATTTCAACATTTGCATTATCAAAATTACAAAAAAGCGAGACATATCTCTATGATAATAGTTTATTTTCATGTTTGCCTTATATCTGAAAAACTATAATAGATGGGAGAAACTTTATATACGAAGAATGATCAACAAGACAAGATCTACAAATAAGTCCACATGGTCGAAATCATCAGACGACTCCTTATTGGAGTTATTGCCCTTTAAAGACGATTTTTAGCAATTTTTTGCGTTTTTGCCTAATATTTGAAAAACTATTATAGATAGAAAGATAGAAACTTAAATAAGTAAAAGTGATCAGCAAGACAAGATCTACAAATAAGTTAATAGTCTTGAAATCGACTGACTACCCCTAATTGGAGTTATTGCCCTTTGATAATGATTTTTCCATTTATTTGCATTTTTACCTAATATTTGAAAAACTATTAGATAGATTGAAACATAATTAAGTAAAAATGATCTGCAAGACTTGATCTACAAAAAAGTCAAATAGTGGAAATCATCAGTGGACCACTTGTAGGAGTACTTGCTCTTTAGTGACTAATTTTACCAATAGTTTACGTTTTTGCCTACTATCTTGAAAACTATGAAAGATAGATAGATACTTTAAATAGCAAAAATGATCAGCAAGACAAGATCTACAAATAAGTAAAATTTTGCCCAAAATTGTTGGTTTACTCTTTATAGGAGTGATTGCTTTAGGTGATAATTTTTTTACCTTTTTTTTGTGTTTTGGGCAAAAACTAAAGAAAATAGAGAGAAACTGTCAACAGAAAAAATTATCAGCAATACAAGATTAACAAAAAGAAAAGATTTTTTTCATGAATTCTATTCGAGTCCAAAATGTTGGAGAGTCCTTTATTGACGATGCTCATAGACCTAGGTGAGCGACATAGGCTCTTTAGAGCCTCTAGTTTTTTATAACCAACAAGAAAATTTGCGAAAGTTAAATGCTTGAAATAATTTGATGGTTTACAGTATTACTGACTACATGTATGCTAGATACTCACTAGATCTTTATGAGTAACTTACTGGATTTTACTAGCTATTGACCTGATTTAACTTGTAAGATTCAACATTTTTTCAGGCACAGTCAACCTCAGCATTAAGTCAGAATGATCCCAGTATTAGTTCATTAAAGACATGTTTAGAAGCAATCTCAGAGAAAGGACAGAATATATTCCTCACCATTGTAACATCATCATTTCCATCAGCCAAGGTAACGTCAACCTCTTTAAAATTGATGGTAGAAAAATCAACAAAATCATTTTCTTGCTTTTTGGTGATTTTCGGTTATTTTACACTTTCATTTTTATATGCCCGTTTACAGGACGTATTATGGTAAACTGTTGTTAGTCCGTCCATCCGTCGTCAACATGTCGGACAATAACTCAAAAATGCTTTAACCAAATTTTATGAAACTTTGGTGAATTGTTTATTTCTATTGACGTAAGCTCTCTTTCGATTTTTATAAATTTTTGAATCTACATTTCTAAGTTATGGGATTTTATTCATCAAAAAGGGGGGATTTGTCAGTTTTCGGACAATTCATTTTTTTTTCTAGACTCTTATCTTCCATCAATATCAAATTTATGTGCAGAAATGTTTTTGTGATTTAATGTTTTTTGGGTAATTAGTGAAAAATTAAACACTTTGGAAAATATTTCCAGTTTACAGTATTTTTTATGGCAGAGGAACATTGGTAGCATTTGTGAGAAGCCAGTGTATGCTTTAAATATTTTTTTCATTAGATGAAAGAGTAATTTCTATATCCAAGAAGGAAAAGTTCCTAAAGTCTTAAATTCTGAATATACTGTGTAGTAAATTAGTTTACAGTAACTTGATTGTAAGTGTTGGTCTCCACCTATTGCAGTTCATTCAAAATTCTGACCAATTTGCAATTTGTTTCATCAAACCAAACTGTTCAACTGATCAGGATTTTTATCCAGCTGCCGTAGAAGGACCATAGTCAAGTCATCAAAGTGCAAAGTGATAAATTAAAGCGTTCTCAACCAATAAATTATATAATCCCTCAAGCAGAGCTCCCGAGATTATATTGGTATCTAGGTATGATACAGATGTGATATTGAAAAAGCCATAAAATATTCTCTTTACTGTTTACAGGATCAAGATTTGTTGATACAAGAACTTAACAGAATCAGATTCTTTGATGTGTTTGAGTTTAATGCAGCAAAGAAACATTGGGCTTGTTTTGTGTGCAATCATCCAGAAAAAGTGGGAGATCTTTTACAGAATGGTGTCCCTGTTATAGCTGTAAGTATAGTTTTAGACAGTGTCTTAGTTGGTTAGTCTTTCAAAGGTGAAGGTAGGATAAGGCCCCCTGAATTTTGAAATAAATAATATTATAAATCTTCCAAATATACTTCAGCTGTTCCTAAGACATAAGACTGTCAATAATCAGTATTTGTATTTTTTAATTTTGTATTCTGGCTTCCAACTCTTTTTATATGGTGTATACTGCAGAAATGGTCAAAATAGCCCCACTGTTATATCTTATCAATGATATTTAGATATGAACCAAGGCTTCACCCAAAAAGATATTTTGCCACAAGATGTATTTTACAAAGATGTATTTATTTTGCCACAAGATGTATTTTACAAAGATGTATTTATTTTGCCACAAGATGTATTTTACAAAGATGTATTACCAATGTTATTTCAACTGATCGGGTGGAGCTTACATTTCAATTTGCATAAGGACAGTCTATTTGAAGATGTGTGCAATAAGGATGATTGCCGTTATATAAACAAGTACTGAGTGTATGATATGGGACGAATAGAGTTTAAAACTTATAGCATAAAAACATGGTTTAGAACGGAAGTTATTCTGATAATTCTCGTGGTGATTTATTTGCATTTGTTACTTAAACCCTTTAATTTCTTTTTGTTACATTTAATATGCATCAAGTAAAATCTTAAAGGAAAATCTTTAAAAGAAAATTCTTGTTGTTGTTCAATATAGGAAATCAATAAGGTCGAAAAACCATTTGCAACTTATGCCCCTGCCCTCTCCCCACCCTAACAGAAAAAAAATTATTCCGTATAAAAGGAAGAAATAAACTATATCAAAACGTTATTGAATTACAACATATGCATATTTTGCAATTGCCATCGTCATAGTTATACGTTCATATCCACAATTTCCAAAATGTGACAATTATTACATGTTTTTAAACTCCGTTTTACAAGAAAGTCAACGGCTGTGTCTCACTATTTACTTTGCGAATACACACATAGTGTTTACATATTCTATCCAGGTCAATGACGATAACTGGACACTTCATTGATGAGTTTATCACAAAACACCTATAGATGGACTGGTCTATGATAAGCACATTATTATGAACAAGTTGGAAAATTTTAAGACTTAATGACCCATCAAAAAATTTACCCAACAAAACATTCATATGTTCAACATAGAATAAAGAAAAAACTGACTTGATTGATGTTGATTTGGATGTTTCTTTCCACATTGATAAAATGCTTTTCTGTGTCATGACATTAAACCTCTTACCTGAGTGACATTTTGATTGGTACCTTTATTTTATAATTTGTTTACATATTGCTACGGCTAACTATCATTTTCAGGGTCAGTTAAAAGAAAAGAAAGGAAAATGGAAATTTCTGAAAAGATGGAAAACAAGATATTTCACATTGTCCGGAGCTCACATGACCTATAACAAAAGTGACCATGTAAGTTTGTATATTTTGTATCAATTTGTAGTGATTGCCAATGAGACAACTTTCCATCAGAGACCAAATGGCGTAAAATTAGCAACTAAAGGTCATCCTTATGGCCTTCAACAATCAGTTTGATTTACTAACATAAAATTACCAATATAATGCATCAAAAATAATATTTAAAAAATATCTATACACAAGTGAAAAATATAACCGCACCTACCACACCTACCACTAACAACTTATTCCTCAGAAAAAAAAATTAAAAAGACAAACAACAACAAAGAAGACAGGGACCACCCTGACTTAGTACAGGCACAAATATTACAGTAGCAAATATTTTTTTGCAGTTACAGCATTGTCTAATAATAAAAAAAGTTATTTTATCATTTTTGTAATCAAGTTATACCATATTCCTTAAATTGAATACTGTAAATTCAGAAATTATTTTATAACATTTTATTAATGTGAATAATGCGACTTGGTGATTATTGCAATAATAAGAACTCACATTCTTATATCTTATACACATATCTGTCTGCAGATTTTCTTTAAATCGCAATAACAAATCTATCATTTTTGTCCATTCTTCGAAAAATCGCAAAAATAAGTGCACGCAATAATTTCTGAATTTATAGTACTAGGTTTTATTATCTCAGCTTGTAAAATTTTGTGTAGTACAAATATGCTGATTTGCAGCATTAAATCTTGTAATTTGCATGTTGTAATTTATGAATTACTCTTTATAAACAAAGTGTGTAATTAGATCTTCCATATATTATTGCATAATTTGTAGAGAAAAGAGACTTTGCCTGTCAGCAAAATACAAAGTGTAAAAGCAGTAAGGAAAGGTATACGTGACATTCCGAAAGCATTTGAAATTTTTACTGGTGATGAGACATACACCTTCAAAGCTAAAGGCCAACAGAACATTGAACAATGGGTCCAATGTCTACACATTGCTGTAGCCCAGGTCCAGAACAAAGATGATGAGAAAAAGAGCACAAAGATGGTACCGATGCCCAGTCATGTGAATCCACTAAATCAAGAAAATGTTGTGATTGAACGACCTAGATCTGTAATGGATACAAAATTATAGCAATGAAATATAGTTCCATATAAATATCATCTGAATTAAGTTTTCAAAACCTTTCTTCTATGCCTCAACACATGAATGGGATAATTCAAAGGTTCTGGAATGAATCTGTACAAAAAATATTTTGTTCCATCAGTTGTAAAATCTTCCTGCAGGTATTTCCGCCATATGTCACAATGCTGTACAAATCACTGTTGTATCAGTTTTGAAAAACAATTTTTTTATTCATTTTTCCATAGAAGTCATCATTACACTTGTACTCTGACAGCAGCAATAGAAAATTAGACACATGGTTCTGTGGAACCCTTTACAAGTTTTTTGGGACTAATATTTGGGTGTAGAAAAATATTTCAATATTTTATCCACGAGATCTGCCTATTATTAGCAGCATTGTAAAGCAAGGGATTATGTTTTGAGGCATTATTATTTACTCTTTGCTACTGAATTAATATGCCCTTGAACTGTGTGTAGCAAAATCTTAAAGCATTGTTAAATGAATATACATTATAACAACTATTCACAATTTGATTTTGGACATTGAGGTTGATATTTGATTTTTATATGGAACTATGGTTTTTAAGATGACAATGTTTTGCTTTTTATAATCTGTAAATTCAAAAATTATTGCGTGCATTTATTATTGTGGTTTTGTCATTTTAGACCAAAATGTGATTATTATTTTTGCCATACTGAGAAAAATCCTGCTTCATTCGTATAAAAATATCCAAAATGAGAGTTTAAATTATTGAGATTACAACCCTGTCACATTTTTCGCAATAATTTCCGAATTTACAGTAAATGTATCAGTTGTTTCAACATTCCATATCTTTCTTCTAATGATATACTGTAAATTGTAAAAAGTATGCAATGTTTTTATTATTGGGAAAATTTAGAAAAATCAAAACTTACTTTTTAAATTTTGAAAGCATTATTGGTATATGGTATTTCTTAAAATAGCATTAACTACTCTCACATTTTTGTCCAATGTTCAACCATCTCAATAATAAAGACTAAAATTTCTGAATTTACAGTTATCAGTATTCTAATACTAATTGCATTATCAGCATTATAATATCATCATGTATTTTATTTAATCATAATATCATATAAATTAAGATACATATCTGAAATGTTGTAGTTACATAATTGATGTGTTAACCTATTTACAGCATAAATCATTTATGTGTTAACCTGTTTACTGCATAAATCATTGATGCGTTAACCTGGTTACAGTATAAATCATTGATGTGTTAACCTGTTTACAGCATAAAATATTGATGTGTTTACCTGTTTACAGCATAAATCATTGATGTGTTAACCTGTTTACAGCATAAATCATTGATGTGTTTACCTGTTTTTAGCATAAATCATTGATGTGTTAATCTATTTTCATGCAAGTGATCAATTTTATATCAGTATGTAATAGTCTAAATCTGACAACTTGCAGGCAAATAGATTGATACATGAATGTTTTATGCTGTACAGTGGTTTCATATTTTACATATCTAATATAAAAAAAGGAGATGTGGTATGTTTGCTTTTGAATAAAAGATAGGTCTTAGAAAATGTTATTTTGATAGAGCTCTACAAATTCCTGTATAAAGACATTTTTTCTGTTCGTAAAAGGTTAAACTTTTTCTACTTGAATATAATCACCCTCAGGGTAAACAATGTTCTAAAACTGATTCTCTTATTAAACTTTTTGTTGTTTTATAATACCAAACTAACATTGCAGACACTTTTTAGAGCTAATTTCCTTAATTAGAATTGACATCTGCAAACAATATAAAATAGGCAGAGTTAAACCTGTATACAATATACTTAAATTTGAATAGATGTTATCCTGGAGGTTAGGAACACCAAATTGTACATGTAAACTTTACAAGACAATATTAGTAAGGTTTAACTCCACCCAATTTTTATTGTATGCAGATGTCAATCTTAATTACAATGCTTGAGCAGACATTTTTTACAAACAGAGCAAGCAAGCCAACCAAAATCTTAATCTACAAGCATAAGAAATTAGCTCTAAAGAAGCGCATGCCTTACTGTAGTAACAGATTGTCAAAACACTTGTGTCAGAAAACTATTTTGTGTTAAAGAAACCCTTAATTGTACAAGGGTCGACTCTTTCTGTAAAAATTTGATGGCCCTGAAAGGGCTGTGTGTGAAGGCTATCCTTTGCACTAGATGAAATTCCAAATCCTGTTTCTTCGTCACTCACTGGACTTCTTACGTGGTGGTTCCATTAGTAGTGTCTTTTTGTTGGGAGACAATTCATGTACAAATTAAGAGGCTCAAAATGTTATTCACCGGTGAATAATAGTATTATCATTGCATATTGTTACTTTTGCTTTTCCTTGCATTTAAACAAAAACTAACCCAATTATTTCATGTCACAAGATAATGTTTTACCTAATAAAACTGTGTAATGTAGATGTAAGATGGGATAATATGAGAGGTTTGACCTTCTTAGAGCTTGTTATAACAGTTTTGAAATTACTATTTTCTTGATATTTTGTGTTTTAATGAATGAAAATTAAAATTTATGAATAAGAAATTAATGTTGGATTGTGCAAAAAAAATGTGCTTTTAATATTATTTGTACATAGTTTTTCACGTATACAGAAATATATATATATATAATTTTGTGCCAATTAATATCATTCTACAATTTTTACTCTTTTGCCTTTTTACATGCATTCCTGTTATTTTGTCTTGTTTAACTGTTTAAAAAATCTGTGACTCATTTCACAAAAAAAATCTTACGAGTAAAACTACTCCTAAGTCATGAACATTTCAGTATAACTTACGATCAATTTTAGTCACAAGATTTTTTGTGAAAAGAGCCCCTGCTGTATTGTTGGAAAAAATTGTACATTTTTATGAAGGTTATAAAATGTTCCTTGAGGGGCTGTAACAAAACATTTATCGGTTGTATATTTACATATTTTTTAACAGTTTTATCGCAATATATATCACTATACCTGCATTTGTACATACTGCTTAGGTATATTTCTGGTAAACATTTTAAAATATTTTATTTTTTAACAAAAATTTAAAAGTAAAAGAAATTCAAATACTTATTTAATCATTGACTGGTTAATTTGTATCTTTATATCAAGTACTGTTGTTTGGAAGGTTGTATATGTGTATATCATATTGATAGTTTTGTTTTTTGAAAATTTGTTCAGATAGAATTTGAAAATCAATACACCTTATCGCTATTTGTCTGCCATTACTGGACACCACAGAAGCTCCCGTAAAATTTTCGTCACAAGAGAAAATGTCTGACGCCACAAAGGAAAAGTGATTGTAGTATGACGTCAATAGTTCAAGCGTCGCAAATTCTTGGATCAAGTGGCACAGAACCCCAAAAAGGGATAAGGTCAATTGTAAAGTTTCCTGAATCAAGCTGCTTTACCATGACAATATTGATTTGAATTCCAGTAAATTTTGTGCTCCCAGAATTTTATTTTAAGCGAAACATAAATGTTACAGTTGTTACTATATCTGCCTACAATTCAACAGAAACACAGATTCTGGCTGAGAATTTAAATTTTATTTAAGAGTTTTTTCATCCTTGCAACTTATTATCTTCCATGAAATGAGGGTCAAATAGAAAATTCATTATTGCCGTAAGTACAGCTCTAGAGTAGAGTTATGCCCCTTGAATTGTCTAGAAAGGGTACAATTGATGGTTTCATTAAATCAAATTTGCAATTATATAATATCTGACTGTAAAGTGGATCAAGTGGCTTATTTTCCCTTATTTCGCCATTTTAGTTAAATTGTGAAAATATGCCTTTGCCTGAATATGTTCGTCAGAGATCAGTATCAAGGACAAGAACAACATGATATTAAAATGTTGCAAGCATGTTTCGTTCTAAGAAAATAAAACATTTTACAGTATATAAAAATAAGAAGATGTGGTATGAATGCCAATGAGACAGCTCTCCACCAGAGACCAAATGACATAGAAGTTAACAACTATAGGTCACCATACGCCCTTCAACAATGAGCAAAACCCATACCACATAGTCAGCTATTAAAGGCCCCGAAATGACAAATGTAAAACAATTCAAAAGAGAAAAATAACGGCCTTATTTATGTGATATATGATATACAGCAACAAATGACAACAACAGAAATACAGTCTCCTGACCTGGGATAGGCGCATACAGAATGTGGCAGTGTTAAACTAGTATAGGTTTAAATCTGTTAGTTTTTCTGTAAGTTTGTGGCTTGGGGGCATCTGCTCTGTCAACATTAAACTTGTTAAATCTCTCTTTACAAATTTAATTGAAACTGACCAATTGCTGGGGTATTGGTTAACATGTGTTGTGTACCGTATGTTGTAATTCATGTTAACCTATTCAACATCTATTCTTTTAAATTAAAGTCTTTCATGTTATAATATGCACAAATATTTTATTGCTTGTTAGCTATAAAAGGTAAAGGTTTAACCAGAGATATTATTTATATATATCAAATTTATGTATATGATATTAATATGTTTTTATATATTATGAATGTTGTCTACAAATATTTTTTGTTTGTTTTTATAGCCTTTATAGGCTTAAATATATATTGATCTGAAAGGTCTGTATCAAATAAAGCTGCAAGGAAAGAAAAACATCAGATTTGAGTTGATTAATACATTGTTTTGATAAGAACAACCAAAATCATTCAACTGTGAACAAGTTTTTTTGCAAGTTTTTTTTTTTATCGCTATTTTACGAAATTTCCCTTTGTTCCTACTGTCTGATAATTTTCTTTCTCAGCGGAGTCGAGTGATATGAAAATTATCGCTAGAAACTAAGGCAGCATGTGCCGTTGTCAATGAAATTAACATCAAATTTACAACGTCGTCATAGGTAAAATAGCAATAAACAGATTATCATTGGTCATCTCAACTCGATTGCTTTTCTCGCTTTCGCCGTACCGGCTATAAATCTATAAATATCAGATTTCACAAGTGTTTTATAAACACTAACATCCAA